TTCTTTGTTTTGAACTTGGGATTTTCTTTCTGGTACACCCTGTATATTCATTTTCCTTCGTGTCCGTGAAAGATTTGCTTTAACTGTTGTTTTTAAAATTTTCCTTTTTACACTTTGAATTTTCTTTCTGTGACACCCTGTATATTAGTTTCCCTGTTCCTCGGGTGAAAACGAATGATATTTGTAGTGTTAAAATGTTTTGTGTTTTCATAGTAAATTTTCCATTTGTAACACCCTGTATATTTGTTTCCATTTTCAACCACGTAGAAAATAGGCTTTGCTAATTTCATTATCCCGGTCGAACTTTACAAAGTAGTACTTGCTTGCATGTGCGCGGCTAAACAAATCGTAAGACCTGCTTCACTATGGCGATCTAATTTGAAAACGACAATAGAACATTGATAGATAATCGCTTCAAAATATACTATTAAAATTATATTTTATTCAAACTCATATACTAAAAGATAGTACATATACAAATTTAATTCTGTTACATAAAATTTAAGTACATGTGTTCAATGCGACTCACGAAAGTGACTTAAGTTACAAGTTACACTTACTTGAATGTTTAATCTTCACAAACTGAAAATGGATTAGATTCCCTACGGACTTCATTCCACACGTAAAAACAAATCTGTGCTTATATTCTCAATGTTTGAATTATTTAATAAAATGTACAAAAAATATATAAACTGGAAAGGTAAGAACACCTCTTCTGTGTCAACGAGATATCCGGACGGACGACGGCATATAAAAACGCGCACAAATGTACACCCTGGCTTCCACGCGCGATAATTCACAAATAACCGCACGCCGCACCAGTCCATTAATTCTAAATGTTATCTTGCTGATCGATTCTAATCTCAACTAACACTTAAAATCACAAGAAACGCGCAAATCCAGTTACAAGATCGACTGGTGAACCAAACACACGTGCGTAAAAATCTAAACCAAATATCGTACCGGTCGACTAAATGCTGAAAGTAGATATGCATTTTGCGCTACGAACGAGCGACAAGAAAATGATAAAGAATTTCAATACTCAATAAATTTAATGCAGGCACGATTGCAATCGATCTCGTACACCGAGACGTTCAAACTCCTTGACGTCTAAAACAAACAGATGCAAAATCAGATACTCTGTGATTTGTGACTTTAATTCATATTTAATTCGCTAAATTAATCCAAAACAGTTTCAAGATGCCCCAGGACGAAACAAGTTAAACTCAAAACAAAAACTGAACATCCAAAAAAATCACATGGAATTTTAATAAATAAATATATTTTTTATACATATACAATTTGAATATCAGAAAGAATGATTGTTTTACGATATCAATGCTCGCCCGCTAGACACCCAAAAACAACCAAAAAATTAGGGCGTTCAAAGCACAAAAATCGAACTTCGTTATTTTTCGTTAAAATAAAAACTAAACAAAAAATAAAGTAAAGATTTCAAACTAAATTCCATGAAAGCGCCATCTGGTCGCGGCGGAACAAAACAAAATATTAGGCTGACATGAGCGCCTGATAGTGGCACCATCTAGTTTTGGGGTAGAATTACCGAACTTGAAACGAATTAAGACGAAATTGTAATGTTTCTGCTTTATATTTAAAATAATCCAATTTAATTTACTTTCATTGCATGAAACATGAAAATTATTTACAAGAATGAGAAACAATTTCAATTCCTACAATATCATAATAGACCGTTGTCTAAACATTTCAACGCCTCGCTAGACACCTCCCAAAAATCATCAAAAAATTTGCATTTCCCTGAAGCACACATATGAGATTTCCCCGCAGATATCCCGTGTGTTAATCACACAAATTATTTATGAAAATGATAAAAACAAATTCATTACCTACATTCCTGATGAAGAATCGTTGTCCTAGGGCAATTTGTTCGCCTGCTAGACACCTAAAACAAACAAAAATTAGTATATCGAAGCTAACAAAATGACATTTTGCAGGTTTCCGTGTGATAATAACAGAAATTATTTATGAAAAGTGATAAAACAAATTCATTACTCACATTCTGATGAAAGAATCGTTGTCCTAGGGCAATTTGTTCGCCTGCTAGACACCCCAAAACAAACAAAATTAGCATATCGAAGCACAAAAATGGCATTCCATATACCGCCAAACATTTCATGAAATGATAAACAAATTCATTACCATTCTAATGAGTTAGAATCGTTGTTCCTAGACAATTTGTTCGGCTGCCAGACACCCAAAACAAACAAAAATTAGCATATAGAAGCAATGTAAAATTCCATTTTGCAGGTTTCCCGTGTGATAATCACAGAAATTGTCAGTGAAATGATAAACAAATCCATTACTCACATTCTGATGAAAGAATCGTTGTCCTAGGGCAATTTGTTCATTGCTAGACACCTAAAAACAAACAAAATTAGCATATCGAAGCACAAAAATGACATTTTGCAGGTTTCCCGTGTGATAATCAATACTGAAATTATTTATGAAATGATAAACAAATTACTCACATTCTGATGAAAGAATCGTTGTCCTAGACAATTGTTCGCCCGCTAGACACCTAAAACAAAACAAAATTAGTATATAACAGCCACAAAATGACATTTTTGCAGGTTTCCCGTGCGGATAACTGTTAATAAAATTATTTATGAAAAATGATAAACAAATCCATTACTCACATTCTGATGAAAGAATCGTTGTCCTAGGGCAATTTGTTCGGCTGCTAGACACCCAAAAACAAACAAAATTAGCATCAAAGCCACAAAAATGACATTTCAACGCTTCCGTGTGATAAATCACACAAATTATTTTATGACGTTTGTAAGCCGCCAAGATCGCGCGCAAACACAAAAAAAAAATACAAAACATTTCACGAGAAAGGGTGATTTTTTCATGCGAATTATCACTTTACCGCTGGCCTCGTAAAAGTACCCTGAATCGGAGTCACTTACTGCTGAACAAATACAACCCGATGGAGAATTTACTCTAAACACCTGCCTGGAGTTTTTGTGTACTTTGGCTTGCGTTCAATGATTAAAATGATGCGCACCATTTTACCAACACCACACGTGGGGATAAGTACAAACAAACACTTAGTTACACATACCACATACCAGTATTTCACTCGTTGCAACACTCAGGGACTTCATAGTTGAAGATGATAAATCTGTGAAATAAATGACATTGTTAAGGGGAAATGCGGGCGGGGTGTCAATATTTATTTTACCGCAATCGGGAGTCGACTGACGAAGCGAATCAACCTGCATTCTACCTAGCTCGTGATTCGGCATCGGAACTCGAAGGCAATTGCTCAAACAGAGAAAGAGAAACGATAAACATTGAGTGCGCACAAAATAAGGCAGACACAAAACATGCAATAAAACTTCTGGCGAAGTGTAAAATATGATAAATATAAATGCAACTCGAAACTTGTTTATACACAAACAAATACTGGATAGTTAACAGGAATTCGCCGAGAACCCTGCATAAAAAGTTTCTGCAAAACAATCGGCGAAAATATGTATTGTCAATACGTTATTAAACTATATGGCTGGTTGCCAATGGTCCTTATTAGGTCGCACGAACTAAAGGTAAATCACATTTAAATACAGTAATAATAGATATGGTTAGATAAGCATTGTTCACAACACACAAAGGTAAGATTTCGTTTTTAATCCGACAAACAACGACTTCCCGAACAATGCATGTACGAATGGGTGAATTAAATATAGAAAGGAAAACGTTTGCATCTTTGCTACTCGTTTTCTTGGTTTATACTGCAAAACATTGTTCATATTTCCGGGGAAAATACCACACACAATGACAATCAGAGATAGACCGCAATTAAACGAAATAATATCGCAACACACGTAGCAAAACGATGCAGGGTCATACCGCACCCGTATCTCGCGAGCGTGCAGTGTAAACAAGTTATAGGTTTGCGGCCATCTTGCAATACGCACAACAAACGCAAAGAAAATAACGATTTTGTATATTCACCAGCCAATTCTTCACTAATGGAACACTAAACATGTATGTAATAACTATATGCGGTCGATGCACAATCGAAATAAATGCGATTTATCGATTTGCAAAGTGAAAATAAAATGATAACATCCGCGAGAAACACGTACGACACAATCAACGACCGGCACAAAATTGAGCTGAGCACGACACGCAGCGCAACCAGCGACAGCGCAATAGATGCGCAAAGCTGGCGGCGCGTCGATGACACACCTTGTGTGCGAATTTAAGCTAAACTAGAATATGCTTCATACGGCATGAGGGAATTTCAAAGACAACATACGGGAATCTCATGCGTTGCATTTCACGCGGCGGAAGAGATAAGAAAGTAAATCGTTCAAAACAAATACAATTGCCGAATGTCTACTCTTCTTCTCTAAAGAAAACTTCAAATTTCCAATTTTAATTTTGCTGTCATTTGGTAACAACAGAAAAATAACAAAACGCAGAGCTAAACTAAAATCTAGGTACACGGCAAACTCTTTCCATAAATAATAAAGTATGAAAATTATTTGAAATAAATATTAAACAAGACATCATTTTCAACCATGTTGAAATAAATTTTAGATCCGTCGGAACGCAATCATTGAATTAAAATTCTTGTTATTCGAATAATAATGATAAGAATGACAATAATTACCAGGTTGCACATTAGTCCATGCTCCTCTGTTGATGACACAAACGTTTTGCACAGTCAATTAATTATTGGCATGCACAAAATATCATCGGCCGTCGCCCGTCGCCCGACGGCAACGGACTCAGAAACACGTGAATAAATTAAACACGCAAAATTTAGAATTTAGAAGATTACACACGCGATAAATAGTTGAAAACATATCAAACACGTTTATTAACACTAATTACCACCGGCGATCAGGAACTATAACGCAATTTGGCCAACTTATATCAAAGAATAACACGAGCCGAAAGTGTGGAATGTGTGCTCGCTGTTATCGCACCGATGCAACAAAACAAAATGCACTCGTTGGAATATTTTCAGTTAATACTACATCCTTGCGCCATCTGATGACTCTTTATAATACCTCACAAAACAACAAAGTGTTTCAAACAGTATGGCGCGCATGTGTGTCAGTGCGAAGTTGTCAATGAGGCAGTGAGTGGTCACGCGCATAGATAGTAGCGTCCGTGTGACACACGAACGCGACAATGTGCATGCACCACCTAGTCTAAAGGAATAGCAGTTTTGTTCACAAATGCAATAAGTTAAATGCAAACGTCACAAAACACATGACACAAAATAAGACGGAGTGAAAATAAATTGCAGACTAGTGATGGTTAACTCGAGTACCTAACTCGAGTTCAACCCGAGTTACGTGAATTTTAACTCGGGTTAAATCGAGTTTTGTTTTTTTTCCGTGTTGGCACATCACTACTGCTACGGCTTGGCCGCCCGTATTCAAAGTACCACGTTTTGGGTCTATATGCCGTGTTAATCTACGGACTGATCTGAGAGATGAAATTTTTATTCTTAAGAAAAAATTGCCATACTTTTTTTCGACGATTTTCAAAAATTAATATCTCTTAAAACAAAGGAGATAGCTACCAACGAATTGCTGATTATGAAAGATTGGAAAATTCTCAATCAGATAAAAGTATAAAATAATTATATTTCCTACAGTAAAAGGTCGAAAATCGCGACTGAAAGTGCTAAAAAGTGACATTTCTCAATTTTTGCCCATTTTATTCAAACGCGAATATCTCGTAAACTAAAAGAGATATTTAAAATCTGATCACAGCGTCTTAATCTACGGACTAATCTCTATAAGATGGAATAGTTAAAACGGAAATCTGTGAGATGAAATTTTAATTCTTAAGAAAAAAATTGCCAAGGGGTGGTGCTTGATACTTTTTTTCGACGATTTTCAAAAATTAATATCTCTTAAACTAAAAGAGATAGCAACCCACGAATTGCTGATTATGAAAGATTGGAAAATTCTCAATCAGATAAAAGTATAAAATAATTATATTTCCGACAGTAAAAGGTCAAAAATCGCTACTAAAAGTGCTAAAAAGTGACATTTCTCCATTTTTGGCCATTTTATTCAAACGCGAATATCTCGTAAACTAAAAGAGATATTTAAGATCTGATCACACATCGATATTTCTCAATTTTTGCAATGCAGACTAAAATAGACATACCAAACATGCAGCGCCATCTGTCAGACCACGAAATAATGACGAAAAGAAAATTGCATATCTGCCTACAACTACGAGCACCATCTAGTGGTGGCTGTCAAAATCACTTTGTTTTATAGAAAACTGTAATTGCAATCAGCAGTTCTCTCAAACCTGTCATTTTTCTGTGGCGTTACCGGATTGACAAGCGCACAAAAATTTGATTTGACTACAATTTTAATTATATGTAAACCGAAATAAGAAATTCATAAGAGAGAAAAGTTAATTACCTTTCTTTTGATGTGTGTTGTAATCATTCCAGAGCAGCATAAGCCCTAAAATGAACAAAAAAATTCAATTTTCTTGCATGGTTTTAGTTCTTGTACTAATTTTTAAACAAGGTTCTCTGATATTCAGATAATCCACGGAGGACTGGGTGGTATTTGATACTGGGTAGTCATGAAGCAATAAATTTGACTTACCGAGGTTAAATGATGATACTACTTCTTCAAAACCGCCGAAGATAAGGTCCAAAGTGTGTGTGCACAATGTTCGTTTTTCAAAACAATGGCAATAACAACTATTTTGAGACAGTAAATATATAAAACAGATAAATCACGGCGCAAACCTTTAATTTAATGGAAACCTAAGTACAAACAGCGTTTTTATATTGTAAGAACGCAAAGTTATGAATAAAACGACGAGCGACGCGTGCTACACGACGGACGAATTTATACTGGCGTGCGAAAATGGCGTCGACGCAAAGCACAGTGTTGGTAAACAACAGTTGGCAGCACTGTAACAAACGTCAAAACCAAAACAAATATGGTGTGTACGTGGAGGCCGTTGAGTTCACCGACTGAGTTACCCTTAGCTTTCGTTTCGGTGTTGAAAATATTGTTTTTTAACCAACATTTTTATCTCAATATTTTTGGTGCCAAAATTAGGTATTACTACTTTGTGATCAAGGCAGCCATGAGCTGTTGTCGCTATTTTAATCTAACTATATCACATCGACTTAACCTCACCTTTTTCGTATGACATTACAATATGCTATGTTTCTCTTTGCAAGTTACGTTTACGGTCATTGCTAGTTTTACTCTTCTAGGTAATTCACAGCCAGCATGTGGAAGGGTACAGACGATCCGGGTGGAGGATCTGACAATACACCACCGAGTAGTCAAGAACTACAAGAAATGAAGGACCAATTTGAGCAGCAGCAAATGCTCATTACACAGTTCAAGGAGATCATGAAAAAGACTGATCAGACCTCAACAACTGTGACACAGGAGAAGGTAGCAGAATATGCTAACACTCTAACCAAAATGAAATCTAGAGCTAAGAGGCTTAATTTGGCAAAAGAGAAAGATTGTGAAGGTGAGGTGACCAAGTTGAACACCCCTGCAAATGAAAAAGTATTATTGCTAAGACAACAGTTGGAGCAAAACAAAGTTAAGTTAGCTGAAAGGGGCAAAAACCAGAAAGGCATTGAAGAAATGGTGGCCCAGGTCAAAGCACAATTGGATGATTCACAGCAACAAATCAATTTATCCCAGACACCACTCAATATTTCCTTGTTTGATGAAAGAGTGGACTACACACCACAATTAAGCTCTCAGGAACTGTACAACATTTTACTCAACAAAGATAAACTCATTAATGAAATGAATGCTAAAATATCTAAGCTACAGGGGAATGTGCTAGACCTACAAGAAAATGTGAAAGAAAAAGAGTCTGTGATTGATGCCAGAACCAAAGCAATTACACTGATGTCTGAAAATTTGAGTAAAAAAGGCAAATCTACTTTGGACGCGCTGGAAGACACGAAGGTGCAGATGCGACGCATGCAGGAAAACTTTATTGAAATTGAAGAACATTTGAAGGCAGAAAATTCAACACTTAAAGCAGATTTAAACAATAAATCCATCGAAATTCAACGGCTGCAGGTTGAAAATAGAGAGTTGCAAGAAAATGAATCACGGTTACAAGTAAAAATTAATGAATTAGAGAAGGTGAAAACTTCACCGACGGTTTCTCCGTCGAGGCGCTCACCATCTAAAAATAGAAAAAGTAAAAGAGGGAAATTTCCATCAAAACCAGATACATCCAAGGCAGATGATGAATCTAATGCGCTGATAACTGCTTTAGAAAAACAATTGAATAATAAAGAGGCGGAAATTGAAATATTGAAGAAACAGCATCAAGATCAAGTTCTGAAATTAACAGAAGAATTGAACACGCAGCGTGAATCTGCTGTAAAAGTAGCTAAAGTAGAAACGATTGTCCATGAAACAGACGATGCCGAGTTAAATAGGCTGAAGCAACAACTAGATGAAGCAAATAAAAACATGATTAAGGTGAAAGCCCAACATAAGAGCAAATTGAAGGAAATGAATAAAAAAATTGAAGAGTTTAAGAAGATTGGCGACGTGAACGCCGAGCTGGTCAAGATGGAAAATGAAAATTCGAAATTACAGCTGAAAATCGTTGACTTAGAGGAGGAAAAGGACAACTGCAATTAGGTATGTGCAATTCAAATGGTAATTCTTAAAATAATTGCATTATTTCCAGAATCCACCAATATAGGTGTAATGGAAGCCACTATCAAAGACTTAACAACTAAGCTAGCAGACCAAGAGACCACTATAAACAACAGTGTAGCAGGTAATTACAAAAAAGTTCATATTTTTGCTTGTGCGATTTGGAAAAGTTTAATTTAATTTTTGCGTAAAAGTTAAAATTTTCTGAATTCATTGCATTTCAAAGATGAGCGGTAATAAAACAGGTAGTTTTGTATCATTTTTCATATGTGTGTTTATTAAATTTTAATTGTTTTTAATAGAAAATAAAAAATATCAAGAAGAACTCCAAGCAATGCGTGATAAACTGGAGCAGATGACAAACGACGAAGTCAAGCAGGAGTTGTCCACTGTTCAGTTTGAAGAACAATATGAATCACTCGAAAAGGAAAAGAAGTTATTACAAACTACTATTGAAACATTGGAACATAAAATAGTTGAGATGAACACGCAATTAGAGGCACTGAAGACTGAAAAATCAGAAATTCAGTTAAAGTATGACGGCTTACTGCAAGAAAACGCAGAGTTGATCGATCGATTAGAAAAATTAAGTACTGAGAAAGTATCATCCGCAGAGAGTATTGAAATTGTCGAGAATTTAACGCAGCAGGAGAAATTGGAGCTGGAGGCGTACCAAAAGAGCTTACTGCCGAAAACAAGCATGGATAATTTAGATGATAATGTGGACGGTGATCTTAACGACAGCGTTAATCAACTTACTGAGGAAACATCTGAATTGCTGCAGAAGATTGAACTATTCACTGTTGAAAGACGAGAAGTTATGGAAAAATTAGAATTATTGACTGAGGAAAATAATCAGTTGAGTCTGAAATTAAGAGAAGTTGAAAACAATAGGGATGTCTTGGTAGAAACATATGAACAGCTTCAAACTGAGAAAGAAATTTTAGATAATAAACTTGAAGAATATGAGGAACTGATTTCAGAATTTAAAAAACAAAATTCAAGTGACGTTGTAGATCATTCTGCAGTTGAAGAATATAAAAAGTTTGTTCAGGTACAAAAAGATGAAATCAACGATTTACAATTAAAATTGTTGTCATATGAAAAAACCGATTCTGTGCGAGATGACAATGTTAATAAAGAATTGGAAGATAATTATATGAGATTGATTGCAGAAAACGAACAATTAACTGCACAATTTGCCGAGATTAAAGAAACTAGCCAAAATTACATTGAGATTATCGAGGACAATAAACAGGAATTGATTAAATATGCAGAAGTGCTGGATGTTAATACAAAATTGAACGCGGAGCATGAAAAGTTAAAGATGCAATTGGAAGAACATCAACAAAATAAAACCGAACAAATTAAAGTTCTTGGTGAAAGCTTAGATGAGTATGAAAAGGAATTGAATGAAAAATGCAAACTTATCAAGACGTTGGAAAATCAAATTTACTCTTTGCAGGAAGAAAAAGTACTTATCGAAACTAATCTGGCGGAGAAATCAAACGAAGTCGAAAGTGTTCGTTTAGAAAAGAAACAAAAAGAAATTGAGAATGAAAAATTGTTGAATCAAGCAATAACCACGGAATCTGAAGTGAAGATTCAAGAGTTACAGACTAAGAATAAAGAACAACTTGAGAAGATGAAGAAAATCGCAGCGAATTTAAAGAAAAAGACGATTGATTTCAAGGAACTTGAAGCTAAATACAATGAATTATTATCGATTAAGGAGGGTATGGAATTACAACAGTCTGCAGATTGCGATAAACAAAATAAAATATCTTCGTTGGAAGCAGAATTAGGATCGTTGTCAAGTGAGCTACAGCGTCTTAAACAAGAGTTTGCTGCCAAGAACACAGAATATTTGAATATTATTGAACAAGAACGAAATTTACACCAAGAAAATCAACAGATAATGACGAGAAATGAAGAAATCACTACTCAGTTGCATACTTATTCAGCACAGATTGAAGATTTGCAGAATATAATTCGTGAATATGAGTCGCAAATAAGTTCTTTAAATCGTGAAATGGAATCATTACGCTCTTCGAAAATATCTGATGAGAAAAATGATATGATTCTGCAATTAAATGATGAAATTGAAGCTTTAAAGTACAATTCACAAACTTCAAACAATGCTTTGCAGATGAAGATTCATGAACAGGAGGTTTCTATTGAGACATATGAACAGGAACTACAGATGTATAAAGAAAAAGCATCCAGATTAGAAGAAGGTTTGTCAGAGGTGGAGGCACGTCGACTAAGTTTAGAGCAGAGATCAATCGACCTTGGTACCAAGCTGGAAATTAAAGAATCAAGCTTTATGGAAGCCACAGAAAAGGGAGAACATTTAGAAAATCGTTTAAAAGCTCTAGCAGAAAAGGATCAAAGGATTGAGGAAAAATTGATAGAGGTACAGGAGGAAAACGCTGTATTGCAAAGCGAAAATCAAAAGATGATTGCCGAAGTAGACAGTTACAAAAAGCAAGTTGAGCAATACAATTATCGTATCAAGCATTACGAAGAGAATCAGGAAGCTGCAAATGCTTTGGAGGCTGAAAAGCAAAGCATGGAGTTAAAGTGTAAAAATTTAGACAATGAATTGAAAAAACTTCATATGGACTTTACTACTCTTCAAAATGAATTCGAGAAGGCTGAGAATGAATCTCAGCAACAGCTACAACGTTCTGCGGCCGAAAGAAAACAGATGATGGAAGAATTAGAAATTCAACGTGAAGAAATTTCGGTTTTGTTAGAGACTAAGAATGATATACAACGTACTGTGGAGGATCTCAATAGCAAGTTAGATCAACAACAGACGGAGTTCGAGGATACAATCAACAAATATCATGATTTGCAACAAGAACATAAGAAGGCTCTAGGCCAACTGGAAGAGTACGAGGCGTCAATTCGATTCCAAAAAGATGTACAAAAAGATATCGAAAGTCCTGACGATGTGCAGCAATTACTAAATCGTAAATTGCAGGAACTTGAAGAGTTCAAGCGGAATTATGTTCCATCACCAGCTGATTTTTTCAATGAAAATCCAATTGAATCTAGCCTCAATAAGGAAATTCAAGATTTAAAAGAAAAGTTAAAACAATTTAATAATACAGAAGCTAAGAGTTTAGAACTGGAACAAGAAATGCATGAAAAAGAAACACATTTACAGATAAACGAAGAGTTATTGAAACGGTTACAGGAAGAATTAGAACTAAAGGACCAGCGTATTAAACAAGACGAGGCTGAAATAATTGATTATAAAACACAGTTGGATTTTGCTAGAAATATGTTAGAGCAGGTGGAAGCGAATAACTTCCAAACCTTAAATCGTAACAATGAACTGGAAAAATTAATTCATAGTGTGGAACAGCAAAAAAATGATCTTCAGCAACAATTAAATAACGAACGTCAATCCCAGCAGCAACATCAAGTGCAATGGCCAGAATCGTCAGCATCTGAACCATTTGCATTCATCCAAGAAAAATCTAATCAAGAACCTACAATGGTGAAGCATGACGTGGTTCCTGTGCAAGCCTTGAATGAAACAAGAAACACTCAAGAAGAATTACTACAGAAGATTAAAACGCTTGAGTTTATAGTGTATAACACCGAACAAGAGAAAGAAAACGCTCAGATTCAATGTGCCCAACTCTCAGAAGAACTCGGGCGACTTATTTACGAACGGGAGCAACAAATGATTGCAACTTCGAATGTCAACAATAGCGATCGTTCCAATTCACAATTCAATCTAGAATCACAAATTGTCTCCGGTGGTGAAGTATCCATTCCACCGTCAATTCCGTTCCAACCATCCAAGGACCCCGAGCAATGTTTCTCCTCGCAGAACATTTCTGAGGACTTGTGTGAACAGCAACGTGCATACGAATGCAATCCGTCAGCGTTTGCCGACGATGACGGATGGGGATTCGACGTAGAGGAAACCAAGGTGGAAGAGGCGCAGGTGCAGTCGACGCCGCCAAGTGATCTTCAAGAAAAGATACGCTTGTTGAATCTTGAACGAGATGCACACCTGGAGGAAATTCATCAGGCGAATGTCAAGTCAGGCAAACTGATAAAAAAATTGAAGGAGTTCAAGGTACGCAACGAGCAGTTGATTGCCAAGATTAAAGCAAAGGATAAAGATGATTTTGGACTTGAAGATACTATCCAAGATGAATTAAAAGCGCAAATAATTGGTTTGGAGAAGAAATTGAAGGAAGCGGATGCCGAGTTGGTGAAGGAACGAAACGAGCGAGAGAATATTGCTAAACGGGTAGATGTACTCACAGCGGCTAATGAACGGATGGTGGAATTGAAAGAAAAGCAAGATATTGAAGTGATGGGTTATCAGCAACAAGTTCGCGACTTGCAAATCAAGTTGGAAAAAGTTGCTTGGAGTTCCGACTTTGGGGAGCAGGTGGTGTCTACTTCTTCAAACACTTCGGTTGCGTCGCTGGCGACCGATAACACTACGTCAGAAAACAAGTTGGAAGAACTACAAGTCTCTGTTAGAGAATTGACATTAGATAATGAAGAATTGCAGGCAATGTTGGAAGAACAGACACGTTTGCGTAAGGAGGCTGAAGCCAGAGCAAAGATTGTGCCCAATGAAGTTGACGCGGAGCAACTTCGAATCGCCTTAGACGAACAGGCTAAGTTAATTATTCAGATTGATGCACACAAAGCCGAATGCAGTAAAATAAGTGACGAGCGCGATTCAATTCAAGAAGAATTGAGGAAACTTGGCGTTACGCTTCAGGGAAATTACAAAGAGAAAACATTATTGGAAGCGTCTCTGTTGGAAAATGGTATTTTGATTGAATCGCTGAAGAAAACAATCGATGAACTGCAGATCAACATGAGCGATGTCGAGCAATTAAAAACTGAATTGGATTGTTTACAAACTGAAAAGGCAACGTGGAATAAAATTCAAGAGGATAAGATGAAGGAACAACAAGATATACTTGCTGAGAATGCATTATTACAGACAACACTGAATGATTTACGCAGTCAGTTGCAAGGAATGCAGTCAACTAACCAAGAGAGCGCAGGATTGATACAAGAAATCGCCAATTTAAAGGTGGAATTGGAGGAAGTCGCTAAATTGAAGCAGCAGCTGATAGATCAAGGGTCGGAGTATGAGCAGAAATTGGTGGCTGCAAGCGAACAATTAGCCTTGGAGTGGGCGCAACACGTGGATCAGCGCGGTAATGATGTTGCCGAGAGCTGGAAGCTGCACGTGGATCAACGCGAGAACGAATTTACGCAGTTGGAGCAATCATTGCGCAAAGAGCTGCACGAAATGGAGGAGAAGTGCAATGCGCTCGTCAATGAAAATAACGAGCTACGACGCAACGTCGACGCCGAGATACGTAACGAGGTCGACCGAATATCCACGCTTCAACAGCACGTCGCCAAACTGGCTGAGACACTTCAACAAAAGGACGCCGACTTTGAACGACTACAAGAAGAGAACGGCAATTTGATTAAGCAGTTGCACGACTACGAAGGGCGCATAAACACCGACAGCGAAGAGCTATCTACCCTTCTTCAGCAGCACGGAGACAAGGACAGGGCAAGCGGGAATTAATTGAGAAATTACGCGACGAATTAAAAGCGAAGGATAACGAGATTACGCAATGTAAGTGCAATATTGAAGAATTAACGAAGGCCAAGTCACAGATCGAGGATAATCAATTGCTACAAAGCGAAATTTCCAAAGAAAAGGAACGAAATGAAAAACTTAAGGCAAAGGTAGAAGAATCGTTGTTGCAAGTTACCACTTTGCAAGGCACACTGCAAGAGAAAGAACATCGCCTACAAGAGCTTGAGGCTTACCTACAACAATTACAAAACGATGATGCCAGCTCCAAGATTCAACTGCAGACGAACGTGCAAGAGTTACAGCAGCAGATCGCGCAATATGTGATGCAATTGCAGGAAAACAACCTACACATCGGCAGTCTGAATGAAGAAATCGAAAGCTACAAGGTGCTGAGTAATCACCTACAGAGCAAGGACACAGAAATACAGCGACTTAACAATTTGATTGAGGAAACTAGTCGTGAACATGAATATGCCTTGGAGAATCAATTGTTGGAAAGTCAATCCGTATTGTCTACAAAGTCTCAAGAATATGACGCGTTGAAGCGAATATTGAATCAAACCGAAATTACCAGAGACGAAATGATTGCAACAAAAGATTCAGAAATTGAAGCGTATAGAGAGCAGTTTGAAGGCGTAAGCAAACAACTTGCAGAGTACCAAGTGGAATATGCAACATTACAGAATAAACTTGTAGAAACCAATGGACATGTTGCTACCTACGAGCAACAAATTTCACAATTGAACGGAATAATCGAAAGTCAAGTTCTAAAAATTGAAGAACTTCAACAAGATATTTACGAAAAAAGTCGGAATTACGATGCACTCGTTGCAGAATTGGATAACACCCAAGAGTTGCAGAAGAAAGTGACGTTTGCAGAGTCTGCTTCTTCTCCCGGTAATGATTCTATCAAGGAAGGAGTGCAGAAAGAGGAAGATCCTTTTGATGCGGCTTCCAAGGCAGAGTTAGATTTGGCTTTGTATATGCTTCATCAACGTGACGTACGTTGTGAAGAGCTCACTGTCGAACTGATGCAGCTATTGGAGGAGCGCGACACCCTTCAACTTCGATTATCGAATGCGCTTAGGGAAAACGAGGCAATTCGCGCGAACGAAGCACTTGTGGGAGAAACAAGTGCTACTAGTTTGAACGTTGACTCGTTAAAGGCTATTGCTGGAACACCGGAGGCAGACAGTGCATTCTTGAAGGAAGGACAAGCGGAGGCTGGATTAGCTAATAAGTATGAAATTATTATCAACACTAGAGTGGAGATCCCTAATTAGTTATTAATATTTTATTCCTAATTTTCATATAGGTTAACGGAACTAAAGGTTGTGGGATACAAGAAAGATAAAACACTTGTGGATGAGCAAGAATTACGTCGTCTGCAGCAAATGGCCTTTCTTCAACAGCACAAGGACGACGTGTCCAGGTTGCCGGCTGAAGCTCAGGCCAGGCTACGCGACGCCAATTATACCCTATGTAAGTTCATACAAAAATTTATTAACCATCACGTTGGTGTACTTAATTATCAATTACAGCACGCGACGTACAGAGCCCCTCCAAGGTGCTGCTCAACTGGTTATGGGGCACTAGCACGCCAAAGGTAAACAACGCTTGAGTTTCAATTTGGAAATAACTATATAGTGCCTCCCCCCACAGTCGCATTTATTTCCATAATTTGTAAAAAGTATTTTATAGCTAAATAATGTAAATATATGAGAAAGTGAATTGTTGGAAAGTACATATGTTGAGTGCTTTTTGTAGTTTGATACAAAAAAGCTTTGCGAAGCTACTTACGTCGCAAAACAATTAATCATTAATCCGTGAATGATATTCGGGTTCTCGAGTGGATCAGCGTGTAAAACATCGATTTAGATTACCTGAGCATACATCCATTTCTATTACGAGTGCAAATATTTGCAAACACTTACCATATTACACCGTCGATGTTTTGATAATGTTCGAGTTCATATGCCGCTAAATAAATCGAAGCCGCACACAAAAACAGAAATTAAGTACACTAAGATGTACAAAGTATGATTTATAATAAATTCATTTTAATGAGGTCTAGTTTTAGATGCTTAAGATGATGGGGATGCTTAAAACTCTGCAAACTTTCGTGATGGACACGTTTGTGAAATAGATTAATTTTCATATGGAGTGCGGCGGCGCGCGTATAGGCGGCACCGCCCCCGTCCGATTTTCGCTACAGGACGCAGCGGCGAACGGCGTCTCTCGGCTATGCTTTCGGCAGTTGGTGGTGGCGGCAGGTACGCTCGCAATCCGCGGTTCACGCACCTCGCCGACGCGCTGAGAAGCGAGTGTCGCGCGACGGACAGCCGTAGTCGGGCGGGCGTTTTCGCTTTCTAATCTCTGGGCAGCGCGACCACGGCCCCGCAACACACATGTTCGCGTTGCGCTAGTTTTTTTCGACCCGCGCGCGATTAAGGACGTGGTGGTTTTACGCGTTTCGCGTTGCCGTGTGTGAATTCACCGTGATAAGTTGCAAAATTGCGATAGGGGCCTCGGAAAGAATGACCGGAAAAGTGAGCAAATTTGTTTCGATTCAAAATGTGCGCAGATAAAAATGAACGTAGGGCTGGAATCTACAAGAACGTAAAAACTATCGAAATTCGACTGAACGAGGTTTGTTTACATATCGTCTTAAAAGTTAACTTAACCTAACTTTCCCATGTCGTTGTTTAAACATATTCAATCATATGTTTCAGGCGTAATGTAGACGAACGAAAGTATATTTAGTGAAAAGATACAATGTCCAAGAGACACTCGACGGTCAGCTTCACCAAGTCAGACTCAGCCAACTACAATGAACCAGAGCAGCAATCCTCTGATGTCTTTGATGAAGACACTGCTCAGCTTTCATTTGCGCCACAGCTGCAGATGTACCTGGCACGTCTGTCGCAGGAATCCGGCTGCTGGGGCAAGTGTTTCCCAATTCCCTTCGAGCGCGCTGCTGGCAAGTCGTGGTGGGATCCAACATTTGATTCGGATGATTTGGAGGAGCAGTACAGGACCAGTTCAGCCACTCACAACAGACTTAAGTTCAGGTAATTATATTTATATATTGAAAATAATATTGTCAATTTGTGTTTGACATTTCATTTATTTTGTTTGTTGCAATCATTGTGTGAATTTATGTTCAATTTGTGCAATAGATATTTGTTGGTTTTTTCACAAGCCGTGTTTTTTTTATATTTCCTGAGTTATTCATGCTTATTCATTGGGACACAAGTAGGGAGAAAGTTTATTAAGACAATCAGAGAAACCAATACTTACGCTGTTTCACACCGCTTTATACACTTGGCTTTGTCAAGCAGCTACAATATTGATCAAGCATTCAATTAATTATAGTGTTGCATGTCAAAAAAGTGCGGCGTTGAACACATGTGGTGCCTATATAGCGATATATTTTGATATACTGTGATTTTAACATTAATAAGTATTAATGAGTTGCTTTGTGCACTTTCTACTGGTCTAGTCGTCGCGTAATATCGATCTTAAGCCGCAATTTTGTGAATTAACGCAATCCTAATGAAAATAATTACAGGCAGATTCTTCGCGCAATTTTTTTAATCGAAAAAATGACCGAAACAAGATCAAAATTCTTTAAAAATGACATGCAAAAATTATTGTATGCCTTCGCCATGTTTTTTTTTTGCTATATATTTTTTTAAGGACCTAATTTAATCGTTTTCGATTTGATTCGTTGGGTAGGGCAAAGCGTAATTAAAAGCAAATATTATTATGATTGCAATTTTGTCGCTCCCTTCTCTCGGCGGATTGTTGACTTCGCCGTCCCTGCACGTCCGGTGCGGTGTTTATTGAATTACTGACATAAACATGCGCAAATTGACGCGATCGCAACGCGATGCAATCCAACAATGTGCGCTCGCGCCCGCGTAATGTACGAAGATTGGAAATGTGGTGAAGAGTGTGTCGAAACAGTGTTGTGGATCACTATAATTATTTTTTTCCACCTACATCTTTAAAGCATAAAGTTTTAACTGCAAAACTATTTAGAAACAATCTTATTACGAAAATATGCTAACATCAGTATATCGTTTCTAATTAGATTAGTCAGTATACTTCATTCTCCCCTCATCTATCCGTGTAGTATTTATAGCTGATGAATCAATAATTGATCAATTAGGTCAAGATACTCTAATCCGATCGCACAGTGTCTACACCCAATCTAGCTACACCTTCTTACTTTAATCCCTTATGGCAAGGCTTTTGAGCTCTATGAAGGCGCTAATTCATGCGTGTAACATCTTAGGAGATTCTCTTAAAGTCTGTGGCTTTGATATTCGGAGATAGATTCGATTAAAGCATTTAACTTGGAATCCATTAAAAATCGAAATAAAATTACAAGAATTTCATTATTTTCGCAAAATTAAATGCAGTCGTTCATTATAACATGTATTGTGCAGCGCTGTGAGCTAGAGCTTACTTTGTTTTACCTGGTGAATAAAACATACCGGGTGTTTTGATATGAACTTTCATTGAAGCAAACTTTGCATAATTATATGTGAGCATCACTTTGTATATCGACAGGGTACAGATCGCCATAATTAAACGCTCCATAAATTATAAAAAATACAATTAGTACCGCACAATATCACATAGACTTCATGGGATATTAATGGAATAGCACAAAACATTTGCTTAACTTATTTGAGTGTTGTGTGGTGTTATACCTACAAGTTCGTAAATCCTTCTATGAATCAAAACAATCCTCTTTCGTCGATTGTCGATATGAACGCAATCGTAAACAAGGCCAGCGGTGACCTTACGTGTGTGTGTTGTGCTGTTTGTGCGCATACACGCAAAATCAATATTTTCATACGCATTATGAGCTTACCGCGCTGCGTGTGCATTCCGTGCCGATGCGGCTGACGACACAGGTTCCCCACAACTCCAGGCGCTGCCTCCAGAAGTCTCGGAAACGCAATTAGTTTGTCCTTAACGAACGGCGGAGGTATTATGCAGAAGCGGAAGGAAGCAAGCGGGTTGTATTTAAATTAAAATTTTCAATGCGCGCTTATTACTACGCGTTGTTTACTCACACCAACAACGTACTGTTTATGTGGTTGCTTAGCGACGCCTGAGTTTGCGAGGATAAACTTTGATCAATGTTCTTCGCGCAGTCGGTTAGGTGAAATTATCAAGAGTTGGATGCTTACTAACAAAATGGAAAGCGAAACTAACATACCCGGTGTAATATTGTTACGCGATTTATCGCTGGAGGTACGCAAAAGACTTGGATTGGACGCGGTGACCATACGCCATCCTTACACAAGGGTACAAAGGGGTCTATTGATTCGTGAGGAGCTGATTGAAAGAATCAAACCCCAGGGGCAACAAACAATTCGCGAAATTGATGAGCATACTGACGAAGATCAATTCGCTGATGAGGATGAAGTGGATGAGGCAAACGACGAAACCTTGTTGCTCATGGTACGTACGCCTACGCACGACGATTGCTTCCAATTGTGCATCATGCCTCAAGCTGAACAGGAAACAATTCGATCATTAAAACGGCTCGAAACTCGTGTAACTTCGCAAATAATCCGCCACCCTAGGCATCGATGGCAAGCGGATCCTGCAACTGAGGAATATATAAATGCTGAAAAACCAAGCCTTTTTCGGGGTTTAGCCAAAGTTGAAATGGAGACTATTTATCCTCGGTATAAAACTATAGAGTTGAGGTTGTGCCCTGCCCGGGAAGTGAGCAAAAATGGCTGTTATACGGAACTGGTTACCACCGAAAAATATCGCAAGGCAATCGTTCACCAACGCCGCGTTTCCGTTTACGTACAGGCCAAGCCCTACACGAATGAAGCAGGCACGCAAACGCCACTTAAATATCCGAAGACCACTTGGACGCAGTACGAGTTTGCTTATCCGGAAATTGCTGCACCGGACGAAGAGTTCGCCATTTATTTCAGTGATAAATTGCGCAAGAAAATACGCGTGCTTGAAGAAGCTTTCTTGCACAATTCGCACATTAACTTTTACTCCCTTGATTATTATTCTGGTGTGATTCCGTATCGGCCCGCCATTCCACTGGAATATAATTTAAAAATAGTACTAAAAGATGTGTTACGATGTAAGGATAAAATGGTTAATTCGATTGTGGAAATGGCGAATGGTTACATGGCGGTCTCGTATAGTGACCAATCATGGAGGGCTTCGAAAAGACAGAGAGTGAAACAGTGTGCAGTGGATTTTAATGTGGTCCTTGTCTGGAGTACAGAAGATCCTTTACAACCTAAAATATTAATGGATACGTTGGGTCATAATGTCACGAGCTTAAAATTTAAAAATGGTTTTCTTTTGGGAGGCTGTTCTAATGGGCAAGTGTTGATGTGGACCTGCAATGTTGATAATAATGACAATACTGATAATGAACACTACCAATTTGTATGTGGGTTGCTTAACTGGTCATGGGACATAGTTAATTTAAGAGTAGAAAAACCAATTGCCATGTCTTATATTGAGGATTCTCATCTACATGGAATTGGTGCTATAGAGTGGTTAAATCATCAAGTGTTTGGCCGCTTTCCCCCTCTATGTCTTCAATTTTATACTGTGGGAATTGACGGTGTCTTGAAATTATGGAATTGTCCCTTAGATCTCGTTAAACCTTGTATAGGAAAATCTAAGTGGAAATCATCGAAGTGGGATGTAATTAGAAACCGGATTCTGCCTAAAACTGACCATGTAGCAGACAATTCAGCATTGTTTCAACTAAAGCCATACTTTGAGATCAAACTGACTGAGAAACCAGTCTCAAATGCATATTTTTACACCGATTCCGAAATACAAATAACTTTAGGTACATATTTAGGTGAATTATTGTTTTTCAAATGGAATACATCCATAAATAATTTCGAAGAATATTTGTATGATGCTGTCCAACATCATGGTCCAATTGTCAGAATTGAAAAACATCCAGAGTTCGACGACATTCTGCTGAGTGTTGGCGGCAGAGCGTTCTCGATTTGGTTGCGCGCAAATTTGGTCTTGGCGAGAAGTTGCTCCTCGCCTGGGGTCAAGTACACAGACGGAAGATGGATCCACTCTGCTGGAGGAGTTTGCTTGTCTCGTAACGACGGTTATTTAGAATTTTGGGATTTTTCCACTCAAAGCAATACCTACCTGGAAAAAATCTGCATCAGCAGTGAGGAAATTTTAGAATTTACTTTTGATAAATTAAATTTAATTACTGTAATATTAAGTGATACAAGCGGATCTATTTTCTATATCGAAATACTTAATTATTGCGCCAAAGATACAGCAGAAGATACCGAAAGCACCCGAAAAATCTTTGAGAATTCTGCTGAGTGTTATTCTTCTTGGATTAATTGGACTAACAAGCGCAACGAGAAGAAAAAATCAGCTGAATTGAAACTGCTTGAGGAACAGAAATTGGCTCAACTTAGAAAAGTGCGGCGGTCTCAACGAGCACCGGAACATAAGACGATAATAACAGTAAAACCCCGGCCGACTTTCAATCAATTGGAAACACAATACGCCATCGATACGGTGCTGAATCAAAAGAATTTGAGTCTGGACGAAGCGCTACGGTTGCAAGTTCCGATACAAATGGCTCGCGCCGAGGAAGTGCGACTATTGCGGAAGCAACGTGGGATAACAAGCCGGGCGATGACGATATTCGCCGCAAACCTGTCGACGTATTTGCCGCAATTTGTGAGCGCCAACGAAGATAAACACGCGCTACCCGCATTAGCACCGCCCCTTTCCGCCGGCGAACAAACAGAATTGAAGCACACCGCGGTAAATCTGCAATTTGAAGCCGACGGCGAACAACAAGAAGCTTTGCACGAGCAGCAGCAGCATGTCGTGGCCGAGTACGAATTGATTCTCGCGGAATTGAAAGCTTTCATCACAAAGAATCGATTCCGCATACAGCAGGCAGAGCGGCAGCCGTTTGTTCTGCGCCATGCTTTGGGCGAAAAGCGGCGGCAATTTTGGGCGCCAAAAGAGCGTCGACGCTCGCGGAAGGATTTATGAAGGCTTTACCGAGCTAGCGAAATCTAATAAAGGAAATGAATAGTTTTACATATGCGCGATAGAAGTTCATTGCACGCATTAATGATTTTTTGTTGCTCTCCTTACTTGTGTCTTGCAATAAAATAAAACTGATATAAAATTGTATGTATTGTTGCAATAACTTTAAATGATTGTTTCAGATACGCCCTGTGGTACATCCTCTTAACATCGTTGTCATGGCTGGCGTATTTTCTAATCACGTGCTGGTCGTCTTCTGCATCCAAACAGTACTGGTCAATATCTTGCACTGTTCTCGCCACTTTAATGCTCCTTGTTGTGATTGTCCTGCTGTTGACGCATACCGAGTTCTTTGCCTCATATATGCTCTCGATCTCGTTAATCGTTGCCATTTCCTTATGTGTACTCAGCTTGCTCTTCGTGTCGCTCATATCATCGAATGTCATATTTGGAGAAATGGGCAAACCACCGGATATATCACCATTGGGACAATTTTCAATCTGCACCGAAGTCCTGCTATTGATATATACGGTCATGCCGCTAAGATTATACATTTCGATCTTGTTGGGAATTGTTTACTCGGTCTTATTTGAGTTGCTGACCTACAGTTTCAACGAGCAGGCTTGTGATGGTGTCACCGTTGTTGTACGCTGCATGGCGCACACCTGTATCCATTTAATAGGCCTGCACATCCTCATCATGACGAATGTCCGCCTTCGTAACACGTTCATGAAGGTTGGACAAAGTTTACTTGTGCGACGCGAACTAGAATGCGAAAAGCGATTGAAGGAAAAAATGATCGAATCACTAATGCCGCCGAAAGTTGCAAGTTGGTTACTCAACGAAGACGAAAACTTAACGCGCAGTGGGATGGAACCGAGAAATTCGAATGGCGGGGCTGATTCTCATGACATACAAACATTATTTCGACCATTCAATATGAACCGTGTTGAGAACGTTTCCATACTGTTTGCTGATATTGTGGGTTTCACAAAGATGTCCAGCTCGAAAAGCGCCGAAGAACTCGTAGAAATTCTGAATAATTTATTTCAGCGTTTTGACCTATTGTGCAAATTCCACAATTGCGAGAAAATCTCCACCTTAGGAGATTGTTATTATTGTGTCTCGGGATGTCCGGAACCACGACCGGATCATGCGCAATGTACGGTCGAGATGGGCTTGAGCATGATCGAGGCAATAAAACAAGAAAAAAACGAAGGTGTTAATATCCGCGTGGGTGTGCACACCGGCACCGTACTTTGTGGAATTGTTGGCACGCGGCGTTTCAAGTTTGACGTTTGGAGCAACGATGTCACTTTGGCTAACCGGATGGAATCCACGGGGAAACCAGGTTTTGTGCATATTTCGGAAAATACGTGCAAGTTTCTTCCAGATTCTTATTTTCTAGAAGAAGGTGAACAGATTTTTGGTTAGTATAAAAAAATCGTCTTGAAATTTAAATATTTGAAGCTAATTTATTGCAGGTCTCAAAACATTTTTTGTTACCGGAAGAAAAACGGAACGTTTGTCTTCATACAATGGGAGTTTTAAGGGTATTGATAGACCTCAACCAAATTCGACTTCATTACAACTTGTTGTTTCCCCTCCTACGTCACCTCCATCCATTTCACCGCATACGCGACCACGCGTACTCTCTTGTTGTGACGCGCCCACTGCATCCTCACTCCTCAAACCACAACAATTATACAATCCCTCCCTGCTATCACCCGATACGTGTAAAATCAAGGCCAGTAGTTTGCCGAGCATCCTTGACTCAGACAACGAACAGGATCAGGAACCGACCGAGAAAAAAGATGAAAACATTAAAACGCCAACGTCGACGGCATCATCGGGGCGGTATTCGGTGAAATTGAAAAACTGGAAAATTCCAAAATTCCTACGTAAAGGATCCGAAAGTGGCGGAAAACCGGAATGTGTGATTTCGCAGGATTGCCCGTCACGCAGCTCCACGGGCGATGACAATGCATTCATGCAACCACCTGAAAATACAACTGGCTACACGCAAATACCGATGATCATTGAGACGAAAAACGACAATCCCCCGATTATGGCCGAATTAAGTGTGGCAGCATCGAGCGGTTTGTATTTACACGAGCCAAAGGATTACATTGACGTGAAGAGTTACATCAGTCAGTCTCGCAGCGACGTTGGACAATTTGATTATTCGCCGAGCGAGTTTTCGCATTTCATCAGAACGGGTAGTTATCGAAGTCAATATGGCCGCTCACCGAACGAGTTCTCGTTTCTAAGTCGAGCCGGTAGCAACCGATCTAAACGCGAAAAATCACCAATCAATGATCTCATGCCATCGGAAAGGGCGAGGAGTGCGACTGTAACCGTTGGGCAATTGGAGCGTCACAAAAAGAGCAGTTTGGATGTACCTGGTGGAAGATTATCAGGTATGATGATTGATGATCAAATCAGTACTGGACCATCAGTAAACAGCAGAAAGGATTCAGGGATCAAGAGTAATAGCAGACGAAGTAGTATAATGCAGGTTAGTGCCACTGTTCAATGAAGTGAAGCCAACATTTTAATAATATTAAAATGTTTTTAGATTGAAAACCGCTTGCCATCAACCAGTGACTCCTTTCACCATCGCGTTAGTGGTTACTTCACCTCTAGTCAGTCGAGCATTAACTCTCCTCAATATTCCTCTCGTCTACCAGGTCCTTTTCCAGCAAAGTGCAAGATTCAAAGTTTACGTAAACAATCTGATCGACAATTGATCAAGTGCGTGCAGGACAACTCCAAGTCACGTCGTTCGTATTTTATAAAACCACCGCTCTGTCCGATTAGTTTATTCTTCTGTAACAAAAAAATGGAGCACGATTATCGCGCGAATGTACATGCCATGCACACTCCGACAGACTCTCTGCCCACACTGGCCAACACAACGCTGAACACGTACTTTGATATTTTTGTCTCCGCGTTGATATTTTTTATTGTCTCCACCGGGCTGTTCTTACTGTACACTCCGTCACCGCTCTGGATCTGTACGTTTTGCATATTCGTTTTGATCCAGCTATGCGCGGTTGCCATTTGTTTCCCCCGCGTGGGTTTCCTTTGTGATTTTTATCTCAATTTTATTCAGAAGTGGTATCGCTGGAACGCTTTCGGCGGTATCTTAGTAAGTCTTCCGTTGATTTCCGTGTTGGTCAACTTCAACTGCCCGAAAATCCTCCAGAACGATTTGATGATGGGGGAATATTTATACGGCTTCCTGCTCTTTGTAGGGCTCATTCACTTTTGCAACTTTATTCAACTGAACTGCTGGATGAAGAATCTGTTAGCAACGTTGTGTTGTACTTGTTTTATTGGTGGAATTTTAAATTGTCCACTGGACGACGAGAATTTTAATCAGTTTTTAAACTTTAGCACCAACAATAACGGCAGTGAGTTTAACACCACGGGAGTGATCAACGACCATAGCCGCATTCAGAATTTGAATTTTATCTTCGATTCTGAGATATTGATGGATTTATTATTATTGCTAGTGCTGGTATGGATTTTAAATCGAGAATTTGAAATTTGTTATCGATTGAGTTTCCACGCTAATTACGTGGCTAACCGTGATCGGTACCACGTGCAGAGTCTGAAGAATCAAGCAGATTGGCTGATATACAACATTGTGCCGGAGCACGTGGCCGAGCTGCTCAAGAAAAATGCGAAATATTCGGAGAATTTTAAAAATGTTGCTATTATTTTTGCCAGCATCGTAAATTTTAACGAGATGTACGATGAGAGTTATTTAGGTGGGAAGGAATTTTTACGAGTGCTTAACGAACTTATTGGAGATTTCGACGAATTATTGACACTGCCACGTTTTCAAAGCGTGGAGAAAATTAAGACGATTGGAAGCACATTCATGGCGGCCAGTGGGCTCAATTCCAAAATGCGTTTACAACAAAATGATGAACATGACCACCTCTTTGCTCTTATGGACTTTGCAATCGCCATGCAAAAGGTCGTCGATAATTTCAACCGAAACCTATTAGAATTCAACCTGATTCTACGCATCGGTTATAATTTCGGCGACGTTACTGCTGCTGTGATCGGTAAAACGAAATTATATTACGACATTTGGGGAGATGCGGTAAATGTGGCATCGCGCATGGACTCAACCGGCGTCAATGATCGCATCCAGGTGGGTGAGCACTGTCTGGATATTCTTCGGCAGCGATACGAATTTGAGCACCGTGGATCTGTCTATGTCAAGGGCAAAGACAACATGAACGTGTATTTGTACTCGCACAAGTTGCACGACATCGACGCCGACGATATCGTCGAGATGTGAACATTCCGAATGTTGTTCTTTTTAAATACTCATCATTGTTATTTAACGGTGCATTTTGGAAAAGTACAAAACATCAGTTCGGTTATTTTTATATATCTATATATTTTATTATTCTCATGGGATTTACTAGCGAAAAATTTTCATAGTGCAAGAGTTTTAACACTACTAACATTAATTTCTTAAAACAGAAGTGAAACTGAAATCGATTCTTGCCAGAGCACAAATTTAAAAATCAAAAGACTGCTTTGCTTTTATTTATTAACACGTTGAGCGTTTATGATAATTTGCTGAAGTTTAAAATGAAACCAAATTGTGACCAAATACTAAAAAGCTTGTTAGAGACGAAAGTAAAACGTGGACCATTTTATATATTGTAAAATTGAACTATTTCAATAGTTAGGGATTTTTGTATTGTTGCACGAATGCATACAGTATATTATAACCGTACCAACTAAACTATTCCAATTTGATAATGGAGTTTTGTGATTGCCATAATAGAATTTTAGAGTGCATTAAAGACAATTGTGTATAGGCCGAGTGGGTGGACGTACGTTGAGATTGAAGTTGATTTATATATGTATATATATATATTACTAGTCGAATATTATAGTAGATAATATTCCTGAAATTTCAACAATATTGTATAATTGTGCAGACGTACATATGATGGCGGACTGCGCATAAGTTAATGATTTTTTACTATTTGATACTGAAGTGACCGACACACCAAACAAATATTTATGAAATGAAAACGACGACAAATACCGAAGGAGATTAATAATGATTAAAGATCCAAACCCTAACATTCCAGAGCTCTTAATTGGCAACAAAAGCATCTAATGTAATCTGTTATTTAATGTTTTCTCTCGGGTCCTACAACAACATTTTACATAAAGTGCCTTTCTATGAACAAGAAACAAATTATACCCTTTGTTGCATTGTCAGGGATATATATTAAAACATGAGGTACGGGAGGAATATAATAGAAAATTGCCTTTCTAACATATAACGCGTAAGTAAATCACAAATATAATGAATGTATTTGTCTTGGGATGCCATGCACTTATTTATTGAAGCATTTACGTTTTTGCGTTGATATTACATTGCAGGGTGTCACATGAAAAAAAATTGATGTATGTAGGCGATATTTTATAACTTTATGATTGGAAAGTTGAACATTTGAATTACGTAATTTTCACAAACTAATTTGTACATACAACTATATGCTAAAACAAATAAAAGTAAAATAGATCCTTTTTTAAGTTTAATGATTTTTATTAATGTATCTACAACGCGCACAAGCTGTATACATTTAATATTGCCTGCTTCATGTAAAATTAATCTTTATCCTTGTGCATTGGGGTAATATTTAATGAAATGGGCTTGGGAAGGGCCGTCAGCGATGGCGCATTTCCCACCGCGCATTTCACGACGCGCAATCGCACCGCAGACACGCCAGCAGGAAACGCACGCGGGACGCAGGCAGGGAAATCGTAGCCAATATTCACAAAGACAACATTTATCCAAGTGCGTCTCAGTGACGGTCGACCGCGAACGCGTTTTCGACCTTTTCAATAATCAATTTTGATTCGATTGTACCTCGAAGAGTTGCAACACTTTTAGGCTACGAATGCATGTCGAAGAGACAAGAAATGTCGTGAGCATTGTGGTAAACGAGAGAAAGCTTTCTACGGAAGTGCAATTAAGTCGTTGACGTAGGCTGGCGTACGTGCCATATCAGACGCCTGAAAAGCACACAAACAAATTATCGAGACAACAAGATAGTCGAAGCAAATTCGATAACTTTCAGGTACTTAATTAATACATTTTGTTATGTATGCATGAAATTTCAGTGCTCTGTTAGAATCCGCTTTCCATTCCTTTCTTTCATTACACGTAACTCACAAAAATGTTTTAGTTGGTAGAGGATATTTATTTTAATAAAATTTTGCGCCCGTGCGGCTGTTTGCATTTTCTTGCACCCTAGGCCGTGTTCAAGGTGGGTGTAACGACAAGGAATAAATTATTGATTATAACGCGACATCGTACGCAATAACTTTTGCTTTCTGGCCACAAAATAATTCCAAACATTTCGTTATCATATTATTATATTTAATACCTACGAGTGTTCGGTTGCTAACGATATTGTAATTTAAGATTAATGAAGTGCTTTCGTCATTGCTATTATCTATGCCTTTCAATTGATTTATTTATATTAATAACAATAATTTTATTCATTTCAAAATAAACTTTGCAATGTTTGCCTCGAAATAGCTGTTGTCAAGTGCTGATACTTAACGCAATCGTTGCTAATCACAATCACACGTGATGTATTCGATCGTAGTTTGCACTGAAGTAATAATTACCAAATTTGACCCAGCGGTCAATATTCGCAGTAACTGCTAATGTATATCCGGAGAGAAAATAATTATCTCATAATCATTGTAAATAAACAACCCAATAAATAGCATCATCTTTACCAACATGTATCGCTGAATCATTGTTGTCAATGTCCGCAAATTGTATTTAAACAATTTAGATTTTTTGATAAAACTGTTAATTGCAAGGAACTTTATTCAACACCAAATGCATCGTACATGCTTTGTTTAATGTCGCACTCACGTTGGATATGTTTAGATTTTTCGATGGCAATTTTCTTAATGAGTTTGATTGCACTCGAGCACAATAGACAGCACAGCTCGCGGTACGGTACGAATGAAGCGACATATATTGCGACACTTACTGCGCCTCATTTTTCGTTTCGGATAACATGCGCGCACGGCGGCTCGCTTAACTTGAGCTGGTTTGAGTCGAGCGGAATAAAAACACGGCATGCATGCTCGGACTTTATATGCTATGTGAGCCCCGAGTTGACTCAGTGTGTTTGATTGTTATTGAGTGTGGAAGTCGCGGCTTGAGTTCACTTTGTGGTCGTTGTTGGTCAGTCGGTCGTCGCCGCGTACTCAGTACGCAAACAACGTGGAACACTTTAACAACATTAGAATTAAAATTCCGGGATTGAATTATTCAATGATAATCAAATTCAATCAAGTTTAATGCGAATTTAAGTCGGCAATTTTTGGAACAAAGAAAGTTCATTCAAGTGCAACAATGTACAATCGCACATCAAACAGAAAACGGGGTAATCGTCAGAATGGAAAAGTCAGTAAGTAATAGTAACTACAACAATAAAATGTTAAAGAAGTGCAGAGATTCAGGTGCAATTAAACTTTTTATTTATATTGGGCAACTTTGGTTGCATATGATACGTAGACGCGCATGTTTTTTGTTCAAAAATGAACTAATAATTTATTTATCACTTCCAGTAACTACATCTTTATTATATAAGAAAATATTTACCTATATAATAAGTGTTGTGACTTTTGATCAGCTGACGTAACCTAATGTTCTAACTATTATGTTACCGTAGAAAAAACGTATGCAACGATCATTAAATAATTGATTCACGCCGTTTATGCGTTAGGTAATTTTCAATTCGTACATTTAGGTTTTGATATTGTGTGACGCACGACTTGACACTGAAAGGTCAAAATTTTGCTTTAAACGATTCGTCAAATATAACTCAGTGATAGTTATCACTTGTTTAAATTTATTGCGCTCGTTAAACTTTGATCAATCATAAGTATTTCCTTGCAGAAAAAATAAAAATGTTGGGCGATTACGAAGAGGATTCGTCCTCGTCAGGTGGCGAGCTCACCCCAAGACGTAAAGCACCACAGCAAGATGGCAACGTGCAGCAAAACAGCTCTTCAATTCTTTCCTCGTTGCGTAGCGTGCTAATCGTTATCAGTTCGGCGTTGATCTGCTTCGCGGCTGCACGTAATTCCATCACTTGGTATGTCTATCTATCACTGATAATATTTGATTGATTAGAAAACAAGGAAGTGATTTATTGAGATCATTATCATTTGATAATAATCACAATCATGTACTTGAAAAAATAAGTGATGTTTATTGTTTTGAAGGCATTGTCAGAGATTCTGGGGTGCGTCAGGTGATTTCTGGCAAGGACAATGGGACAAATTTCTGGACAGCGTAACCGACGATCCATTCATCCTGTGGGTCTTCGGATCGACCATTTTAACTTCTGGAGTGTATTGGTTTGTCGGGGGTATTTATACAATTCTCGACTTGACTAACAAACCGGCCGCCATCAGGCGATACAAAATACAACCAGGCACAAATGAACCTGTCGAAACTAGGAAGTTAATCAAGGTAATCTGGTCCGTCCTGGTTAATCAGTTTCTAGTTGGCGTTCCATTAGGATGCTTGATCTATGTTTTCATGGATTACCGCGGTTTTCCGCCGATTCGTGAACTTCCAACATTTCATTGGGTGCTCTTGGAGCTGGCTGTGCACATTATTATGGAAGAAATTGGATTCTATTATTCTCATAGGTAAGAAACAATTTGTATTTTTTTTGTACTTGGTGGTAATTTGTAAATTATTTTGCAGGTTGTTGCACCACAAGGTACTCTACAAACATATACACAAGATGCACCACGAATGGACAGCTCCCATAGCGGTGACTGCAATTTACTGCCATCCGCTGGAGCACATCTTCTCTAACCTCTTGCCGCCGGCTCTTGGCGTGTTTATCATGGGTTCACATGTTGCCACCGCCTATCTATGGTTCTCCTTGGCAATCCTCTCTACTCTCAACGCTCATAGCGGTTACCATTTGCCATTTTTCCCATCGCCGGAAGCTCATGATTTCCACCATTTAAAGTAAGCTTGAATTAATATCTCAATATATGTATAATATGTTAAATATTTTAGATTCAACAATTGTTTCGGCGTTTTGGGAGTACTGGATCGCATTCATGGCACGGATGCGACTTTCCGCACAACGCGCGCTTATCCTCGTCATATTATGATGCTCAGCTTCATTCCCCCACGCGAGGCATTCCCGGAGTCCAACTGCAAGCACAAAATGGGCAAAACCAACTAGACAAACATACCAAAACCCCGCATTTCCAAAAGACATGATTAGATTACTAATTACTACTTAAATTTATTAAATTAGACTCCCGCTCTAGCCCACTCCTCGCCGACAGAACTTAAACCATGAATGTAGCGATTGCCAGAGAACAAACACTTTTTAAAAATACGTATACAGTATACAGAAACAAATCCCATTTGTGACTGGGTTAATTTTTAGACTTTGTAGGCACATGTATTTAATTTTCGTTTTTAACGAGATTAGAAGCAACTATATAGATATAGATGTGCTAATAATTATAACTATTGATAAAACTTTAATTAAAATGTAACTGTATAACTCCGTGGACGTTTATTTGATTCAAATGTTCCGGTTATGAGATGTATAAATAAGTGACAAGGTGTTAACGCAACAGTGTGATCGAATGTGATTTAAGAATGCAATTATTCTTTAAATACTACTAGTTATACTACGAAACTATTAATGTTCTAATATTATATGACTTTACGTGTGTTTATCATAAGAGAGTCGCATTATTATTATTATTACTATTCTATAACCATGAATGTGGCCAGAACGCTGTACTCTGTAAAATTGAACTTTAATACGTTGTAACTAAATTATAGTGTCGCATTTGAATGTTTATTGAATATTAATAAACGATTTGTGAACTATCGTTGCTGGGACGGTCAAGATTTCATGGCTGGAAACAGTTGTCATATTTTCTTTTAGATTTCCCTTTCCATTGTAACCATGGTAACCATGTATATGAAGTACCGCCTATAGGTTGGCACTGATTCCGATTGGGTCTGATCGCCATAAACCCCATAAACGTTATTAATCGTCCAATAATAAACCTTCATTTAAGTCATTCGTATAGAGAAGACATTTGATACCAAATGTAAACATGACACATAATTTGACTTTATTTATGCACAGCTTAAAGTTTTACAGCAACGTAAGTTGTTTAAAATACACGTGGCCAAAACATGTGCTCTTATCTGCTATATCAAATGTTGTGTTGTATTATTATAATATCTTTTAATTCCTAATTCTAATTTCACAGATTTTTATTCATTTGCCACAACAAATACGGATATTGTTGCATACAATGCAATGTAATATCATTTTCTAAGCGCCGATTGCGTTTTGATACAAACCCGATTTCCTATCTTATTTAATGGTTCTTTTGTAGTATATCATAGTTTTTGTGCGGGCGTGATGGCTTGCACATAGACCGCGACTTCTGTGTGTGGCGGCTCGGGTGTGAAGACTGCTTCGCAATCCACTTTGTAGTCTGCGTATTGTTTTGTATAGATGCACTCGAAGCCGAGGCGAGCGATCGCTTTAGCGCTGTAATGACTCGTGCAATCAACACGCATCAGCTGTTGGCCTTGTTGTCTTGCCACATCCCTTAAAAATATTGTAAAGTTAATTCTTATCAACTTTTTCCATTGGGGTAGTTATAAACCCCTCAATACACATTTCTATACAGGTGAAAATAAAATAATTTAATTTTTGTTTTTGCTCACCTCGTCTTATCCAGCAATTGCTTAGCAATCCCCCGCCCCCGCCAAGTTGAATCCACCGACAAAATCTTGCAGTTCATCACCGAATTAACGTCTTTGTACCGATTGAAAATGTCCACTTCACAATCAATAGTCATTAGCAAGTTGATAATTTTCTGAAACTTGGGATTGCCACAATCTTCGGCTTCCTCCTGACCGTCCGAAGGACGATCGACGGCATTCACAGACACACCCACCACCTCGTCGGAGCTCGAGACTGCCATGTACGAACAGCCGTGGTCCAAACATTTCTTCGAAAAATCCTCGAGCTCCGGGCAGGTGTTTTTTCCGCCCAACAGGTTTATGCTCACATTGAGCGGCTCATCTTTGAAGAAGAAGCGTTGCAGGTGATGCAATACTCGAGGATAGTCTGCTTGTGTTACGTATTTTATTTCGTACGGTTCTGTAGTCGTAGACGGTGTTGATGTCGGCATTACTTTTGATTTGTGCTACGAAAAGAAACAAAATTGTAACATGAGTGGTTTTATTTGAAGTTTTGGATCGGATCCAAAAAGCGATTTCTGCAGCCAAAAATATTTAGAGCACTCCACTTGCCAAGTGTAGAATAGGTCAATTTATAGGTATGATAATTAATTTACCTACTTGGTAATACATGCAAAACTGATTGGACATTGTTCAATTCTTGAAAATACTCAACATATTTTAAAACTATACCTCATCATCCGCATTTTTTGTATTATCCGTGAGTTGATATATATCATTGTTGGCATAGAACGATAACTTTTGTAATTTACCAGTGAGGGTCGGTACATCATAAATCACATTACTTAATTCAACCGCCATATTGAATCCGATTAAAATCACTAATGTATTTTATTATTTACACAATTATTTAATATTTATTTTATGCTGCCTTAGTCGAAGTACGATAAATACGCTTGAGAACCGACCCGGACGAAATGAGTCGTCTTCTTTCTTGGGCAGGCAGTTTTATATAAAGCGTTGAGAGCGGTAGTGGCGGCGCCGCGGTCGGTGCGGACACGAATTTTCAATTATTAGCAATCGTCCCGTCGTCAAGAACAACAATGACGACGAGTTTTGCGCTCGTGTGGTCGAGTTGAAAAGGAAACCAGCGACTGCAAGGCGCCGTATTCCTAGTTCTCGACCACCCCGAGGCTACAACGCTGTGGCAACTAAACTCCTTTTGCAACCCCACGTCGTACACACGAAGAGTGTTAGCGCAGTAATTGCATACAGACTGCAGTGGTAACATGCATGAATACCATGGAAGTATTTTCTCCAAACAGATTAAATATTCAATTTTACATACATCGTATGCAAATAATAGCATTTGAAAGCAAACCACAATTTAGTGTATTATTATAGTGGTCTAGTTCATGGACGAATTTGATTGTTAAACGACTAACAAGTCAATTATACAACAAAATATATATGAAACTGCCTGCAACCCAGCCCATTCTGATAAATACAAAACCAAAAGCGGTTAATTAAACTGGCTTCACGATGATCGACTTGATAATAAAAAAATTTCCGGGTTTATACCGTACCTACCTACAAATTTCAACTCATTAATTTCTTTGAAACATTTTTAAACTGTAAAAAACTATATAATTATTTGTAATTATTTCTTAGTATGCCCAGAAGAATTAAAATTTTGTTACAAATATTTATTTTTTTTTTTTATCATTTGTGAATGATAAAAGTATGGCCCTACTAATTAAATAATTATTAAAATCATTCACACATTTTCACATGTACGATTTAAAATCAAGAACCAAAATTAAGTTAAAATTAACAACCTTGAAGTTAGAAACAAATCGCATGTTAAACATCAGTTCAACTTGATTCGAATGAACACAAAAAATGTTCACGTGGTCGCAAGCAAATTAAATTGAAAAAGTCTGCTCAAGAAAACACATTGTCTACGTAATTAAAAGCCAAGTCATGAACGGATATAAATTACGAATATTAATGTTGTCAGCAATATTGTATTGATTGTTCTTGAACGATCCTGTATCGTGCAACAATCAGTAGTGTAGTTAGAGTTGCCGTTTGTTTGTGTGCACAACCCTATTCGTAGGCACATAATATTATCCCTGGCATTGTGTATACATTCCGGTAACTAAGGTTGCCATGGAGACCGCCCCCGGTAGGCGCTCCGGTTACCGGGAGCCGAGCTCTAGGCAGCCGCCGCCACAAACACATCCAAAGCCAAAGCCGACAGAATAATAATTGAACGCATTTCCATCGGTAAAACTTTCTTTCTCCAATTTCACCATCGAAAAAGGTGGGTTCAAGGGCATGCGAACATGCAATAAACTACAATTGATTTTATCTAGAATTAAATTTATCCAAGTTATCAATATACCTACGCCTTATTCTCATCTTTATATACAAGACAATTTAAAGATCGTGAAAAAATCGACACAAATATTATGCTAATCAGCGAATTTTGAATGCCGTGAACGGCGAATTCTAGTGTGGTGTTCTTGACTTTCGTTCCGCTCTGTTGATACAAACAAGAATAAATAACTATAATTAATATGAAGTTCAAGTTTAAGCGTAAAGTTGCAACATTAAAAAAACAAATTAAACAATCGAAGCCAAAACTTGCGGAAGTGTGTTGATGTTATTTCTGTTTTTTGTATAATTCCGTTTTTACGACATATAGTTGTTTTTATTATGTAACCGAATGCAAAATTTAACGAAATTTCCGAATATATCCTTGAAAGTTCATGCAATATTCTACGACTACAATTTTTCAACCAGAACAAATCTTGTTAAATTTTTTCTAATACCGGTCAAAATTTGTTTACCTAAACATTTAACAACATAATAATCAAATTCATTTTTTATTATGGACGTTATTTTGTTGTTAAAGTCTTTTACGAGTTGTTTCTAGCAAAAGCTATAAATGTGTGGTTTTTCACTAGAAAAGATTATGAACCACACTGGTTTAAACTTAACGAGACACAATCAAATAACTATAAATAATTAAATGCAAATTATTCACGGGGTTTTTACTGGACATTGGAAATTGGCAAAAATCCCGCCAAAAGTGTTTATTTTCAATGACAATTTACACGGTCTTTGTTGATTCAAAAACGGCAAATACATAATTTAAATTACTTTCAATTAAGACATTCTAATGCAATTACACGAGTACAATGGGAACAAAAATCCATTCAATATATTACGTAGTTACAGCAATATTGATTTATTTCTTCTTGCTCACGTTTAAACACGAATATGAAACGACTTAGAGTATAAATCTTTCAACCATCGACATTAATGTCTCCACTGACAGTAATAATCGTTTGTTATAACATCTACCTACTGCAATCTAACAAAAGAAATGCTAAGCATGCACAAGTAAAGTTAAGTGAGAAATCACAATCAAATTCGCTTTACTTTCCATCTCGTCAATAAATTTAATCTAATTTAATTGATAAATGAAACAAAAAACGATTATTTGTTTGCAAGTTGCGTTGCAAAGCATGCACAACTAAAGTCTAGTAAGAAATTACACTCAAATTCACTTTATTTTCAATGCTGTCAATTAATTTAATCTAATGGATTTGATAAGCCAGCTGACCCGACAAATATCTATTAAATATATAAATATCTACTTGAAAATACTAGTCTTACTTAGGGCAAACTTTATTAAACACTGCAACATATTTCACTGCACTGGGGCATTATCTGACAGATGAATTAAAAGTTTGTGACAATATTTGTTTGATTGGCTTTGCAAATATAATGCAGGTAAATCCAAAGGCTACAATGCACAAATTTAAATTTCATTTTTACACTTGTGCTTTGTACCTATAGGTATATTTCTTTTTGTTGTATTTGTAGTATTATTTTTACAAGAATGCATTGCTCGTGGCAATAAGTAAATTCATATGTGCAAAAAAACATAAATATTAACACAGAATTAAACCACAATCGATAAATACAAGTACTTCGGTTATAAACACAATAAATAAAAGCGCATAATCAATGAATTGAAAGTGAACGCGAAGGCGATTGCCGGCAGGAAACTACAAGTACTTATGTACGTTTTGGCGTGTGCAATCGATAAACATCGAAGAAAAATAACAATTATAACTACCAGCCCTTTCATTGTTAATAATTGATTATTGATTTATGTAGTTCCTTTTCATTTGAAATATCTTATTATCTTTACCTTGGAAACCATTTACTAACTATTAAATACCAACAATACAAGTCAATTAAAAATAAACTTACATTTTGGGCAAATTTAACGATGGTCCAACTAATAACCAATTTGTGTATGTATCCTAGCACTGTTCTCCGCATACAACAACCAATTAAATTATTTCAGTGCACATCAACGCTTTAATATATCATCACTGTAGTTCGTAATCGAGTGTGTTTTGGTTTTTATCTTATCACCAAGCACCGAAGCCAAACATTAAACTCCAGCGACTATGCGTATGAATTTAGGTGTGCTCTGATAATGTAGATACGTGTATTATCCTGCTGGTGTTTGGTGTGCAGTGGCGTTTCTGATGATAACTGTAATAGTGGATTTCCAGTTGGTCAAATGAGTAACATTATCTACGCACAGTGTATTCAATTTCGACCGGATTGGGTTGTAGTGTAATTTAAGCATTATACCAACTCCTTTTTTTTATTAATATTATTATTAATATTGAGATACCTATCCGCAAACGTTTTGTAGAGAAGTCCGATAACAACAACAACCAAAATATGTTTGATTTAAAAAATGCGCAGGACTGTAAACAAATATAATTCTGCAATAAATAACGATTGGATACCTATACGACGTACACATAACTTTCAGACAGTTCAAGTTTTAACATAACTACTGTGCAATTACACCGTATCTCAAGAATTCATTTTAAACATAAATTTATTGTTGATATTAATTGCAGTACACGTAACTACATTAATTTGATCCCCCTATTGTGTGCAGTTGTGTACGCGCACAATTTTATGAACGTTTCCTGCTACAAAACATTTTGCATGTTGTCGTGTTCGAAGTCATTTGCATCGCGGCAATTTAACGCTAATTAGAGCAATTGCAGGCATGCGAATGAAAACTTCCTAATAAAGAAGAATCAACTAAACAATTGCTAGCACACCACTCACAGGCAGTATAATTACCTCCTCAAAACATCCGAATTCATCCATTTTATGAGCAACTACATTTCTGTTATAACAAACTAATTCATTAATTAATTTTATATCACAGCTTATGTCACGCGCTTTGTGAGGGGGCACACATTTAATTCAGGCTGGAACTACTCACGACGATGGCCGTACGACGAAGGCGGCTGGCGGTGGCGCACAGCACGTTGCACGAGTGTGTATCTCTTACAGCCAACATGCGCGCGACGAGCCGCCACCTCCGGAGGGCGGAAAACACTTGCCATCGAAATTATTCCCTTTTTCATTGCGCAAGCGATGCACACCTGCGTGTCGCTAGGTAAGCTCACCCCACCGATGGGGAAGGTAGCACAGATTGAAAAAGGATAACACAAGCACGCGCGCGCACAAAACGAAAAAATAAATATGCGAAGCGCCAAGCGAAGGAGAAACAATGCGAAGTGAAGACTGAAACCAGCACGTTGTTAAAATATACGAGATGTTTCAGTCAACAAGCATAAAAATTATTATTATTATTCATTTTTCTTAAAGTTTCAGATTAAGAAATGTAATGTCAATTTTTTTATAACTACTAGGTACATATTTACTTCTGGGAGCGATAAATTTTAATATTTTTACACGTTAAACAATCGTGAGCGTCCCTTTCACTTCATTGAATGCCGGCGACGACTATACGAGTATCTAATACACCCGGAGACAAAACTAAACAATAGCAATTACTATGGAAATAATAATTATGGTCTCTCGCTCCCTGAATAGCAGAGATTCCTATTTTAATCTTAAAACAATCGGAATTTACTGCAAAATGTATTGAACATTCGATATTAATAATTTAAATATATGTAATTTATTCAGTTTTTTTGTTGCAATCGATTTATAATAATTCGATCGGGAAAGAATAAAATTAATCGACATGCAATTAAAACATAATCATACATCATACATAGGTTCTAACTATTATATAAGTACCTATATGTTTATTTTCTTCATAGAATACGTAAAAAAAATAATTTGTTTTGTCCCTTGAGATAAATATCCGTTATTTAAATTAAATCTGATTAATGAGCAAAAATATTAGAAAAAAATAATAAATCATGCATTAATATTCATGCATTAAATAACAGAATTAAGTCAGTCCATGCCATGAATGCGTGCATGGATGACAAAAATGTATGGAATTCGGACGATTCCAAATGCCTTTTGTTTGATACAATTTTTATAATTCCGACGTATCAGGCACTCAGAGCTTAGCAGAGGTTCTCTGAATATACGGCTTCTCCTTCCCATCCTTCGACAGCAACTGCTAGGTAAATGTTAAAGTAAGGAAAGGCAGCGTCCTCTGTTTAACAAAAGATGCAACCATTATCGAAATCCGTAGAAGCCAACAAAAATTCCATTGCTGTACGCATTGTTGCATATGGCAATTACATGCGACAAAATGGAGGCACTATAAAATTTTATTTTATTATTAAAATAGAAAATATTTTGCATTAGTTGACACAACTACATACACTGTTGTCAAATATGTTTTTCATCATGTATAAAGTATAAACACATCGAAATTTAACGTAAATGTGTTAATGGAACGCTGTAATGTTTATTATACTTTTCAATAAACATACAAAGTTTATATTTAATAGGGACGAAAGAGTTCAAAGCATAACTCGTAACATATATATCACATGAATTCAAAAGAACTTAAGTTCTTATTGATGTAAAACGTGTTCCGTCATCAAATGTCAGAATTAAGTTATGTACACTAGAAGTACATAAATCTAGGTTAAAACATGTACAATTCTTAATATGCATTGAAACATGTTTCATTTCGCATTTAAATTTTAATGAAAATAAATTTTTGGTTGTTTTCACAATTTTTTGTTGGATATTAAGTTTAAATTGAACTGCATAATCTACTTTATACTCCAATACTGATTTCGTAGTGATAGCATGGATAAGAAAACCTGTCCCAGTTGCAGTCAACTGGCACTGTTGTATGTGCCAAAACTTGGAAGGCATAAACGGCGTACACCAGTACCGCAACCAGTTAGCTCTCTCCTCACAATTCTGGCCGTGCCGGACTACGCGCAGTAGCGCCAAGCAACGCGCAGCAACGCGCAGTCTGTGTCACGCCGGCGCGTGGAGTGCATCGTGTGGGTGAACGTATCAACTCAAATAAAAAACTTTCGTTTCTTGTCCGCTACGCTATTGACGATGCGGGATCTCGCTTCGAAGATGGCAGAGCTGAAATTTGAAGCACCTTTAGCGCAGTTTGAGGAAGCAGACGATTGGAGCGCCTCTGACTACCCTAACAATGGCTCTACAACGACGTCCATCAAGCTCAACGAGGTGGACAACATCAACCACCTGAACAACAAGCGCAACAAGGACATAAACGACGTCCTCCTCAACGACTTCAATGAAGACGCGCTTCTCAACGATAATATGGAGATTTTACCCGGTGCGCATACGCTTTCTCTGGGCAAGAATAAGGTCGCCGAGAATGGTCCCAACAATGTCTCCGATAATTTCACAGAGACCTTCAGTGGTTCTTTGGAGGATTTGGTCAATACATTTGACGATAAAATCACCAAGTGTTTTGGCAATTACGAGGAATCCGTGGAGAAATTGGCACCAGTTCAGGTGCGGACCCAGGAGGAGATTATGAACGAATGCCAGTGAGTAATATTTTTTATGCGCTCTTTATATGGCCTGTCAAAATCTCCATGACTACTCCATGTTGATTGTTTCCATCTTTGATGAGTCATCCTTATCCTTATCATCCTTTCCTTAACTGTACGTTTATAAGCAAGTATTGGTAAAATAGCTTAGGGCGATAGTAAAATACAGCAAGATATTTAATTCCTTCGTTGCAATCTATCATTTGAAGGCATTGTCGTATTTTGATGCACTGCAAGAGGTATTAAGGGCGCATTGCCTTTCGTTCTTTGCACGTCACACGCACGCGCTCTCGTCGGAGGGTGCAAAATCAATACTAGCGCAGTAACGCGCACGTTCTTGTGACGTCATAAGAAAGGTATATAAGGGTAATATCACATTAAAAAATTGTACAAAAAAAGATATAAATGAATTATAATTAATAGGTTTTTGTTTTTGGGTAAATAGTCAATCTGTATGTCCAGTCTCAAAGTATCTTCGTCTTCAGACCTTGTACACAGGCGCATAACGGCTTAAAATAGCGCATACGTATGATCTTTATGTTTAACTCATCTGAAACTCTAAGTTGTATACAGTAAATACCACATGTTGACGGGAGAGAGCAATCGAACGTAACCTTCACACCAATTAAAAATTGGTAGCATAAATATTTTTCAAATGCCCAATATACAAATCTTCAAAGTAAACTAAACAGTTTGATGAAAGTAAAGCGGTAACTGAAGTTCTAAAGGTCAGGTGATAATATACTTCGATATATATTTGTGTACGTTTTGCATTAAATTATTAATTTTGATTAATTACTGATGACTGTTATCAAAGCAAAGCAAAACATAAATTCCTCACACGTAATCATTTTATCAGCAATTAATGATGATAATTTTGTTCAGGCGAGCTGAATCAGCTCAGGTTTTAAGTTGCTGTAACAACAACTTATATTTTTTAATGATTTTTGCAAATAAAAAAGCGAAATACGCAGTGGTTTTATATAATTTTAATTCATTGACCCAGCTATGCATTGTGCATTGTACTTTCTTACTCTTGCATTTATTTTTGTCCACCTACGCAAAAGTTTGCGAGCCTAAAATACTCGTACGATAAGCGATTGCATTCTTTTTCAATTGCGAAAATCTTTTACTAGCATATCATGTACAGATTAAACCTTTTAAATTAAAATTGAGTGCTAATTTTATTTTCAAATTTACATATTTATTTAATACTTAATTTATCTCAATATGTATTTCTAGAAGGTCAAAACATACAATTTCTAAATAATATCCATGCTAAAATATATGCAGCTAGGCACTTCTTTAACTTATCTTAATTCATATAATTGCGCACACTATGAACAACTCATTGTGCCATTCCAGAAAAGGCATGTGTGGGCATGCACGAGAATAGGAAAGAGCATACCCACTAAACGGTATATTCATATGAATCTAATGACGTCAGCATCAAAATATTACTCACTTCCTTATTAAAGTTACACATTCCAAATTTTCGGTTTTCATTGTTATGAGCAAACTACTAAATGCTTTAGGTAAATCTGTTTAAAACTTTATCATTCATTTTAAACTTTTAGGATGAGTTTTCTATTTACCAAACAATTAATATTTCAAGGTATTGAAGTTTGTAGACATACAGTGATATGAGTCGGTGCTGTTGAAATCGATCGGAGTATGCTCGGCATGCTTGCTTCATTTACATAAATTACATAGTGTTAACTTTTATAACTTGAAGTATGTCAAAATATTCCAAAAGTTATGTACAAATTTAGATTTACACTGAAAATGAAAACTGATAAAACTAAAAATATTTATGTAGTATTGTAATCATATGACCAGAATATTATCAGTCGCATGTGCTATTTGCGACTGTTAATTGTTTTCAATCTATTTTTATGTAGTAATTGTTTTCATTTCAGCAGTAACAGAAATATTTATCATGGCTGTATTTACGACCTGTTTTGTGCGAATAAGTACGTCTTTTATTTCATTTAGAGGCTGCTTAATGTTCATGTAGCGTTTTATTTCTTTAATATTTCGTTTTGCGAACTTGTACTTTCGCTCTAATTTGTGGGGCATGTTTTATACGATGAATCTTCGAAATCAAGTCAAGTGTTCGTTGCGTCTACATCAACTAAGTTTTTACATACTAAGAAATGCTTATGCTCTGTGTGTGGGAGATGTGTGTGTGTAGAAAACTGAAAATGAGTCAACTATCAATAAATATCGCAACAGCGAAGCACGTAATCCTTAAAAACTGGAGCATATTTCAATCAGCTATAGTGAGCAGCAACGAATGTTATCTTCTCGCGTTGCATCTCTCGCAGCTGCTGTCACGAACATTCCGGCTGCTGTAACGATAAAAACAGCTCAGCTCAACTTCTACATCCTACACCGATTTTATTATCATTCACAAGTATACGTATATAAACGCTCGTATTTTTGAGAAATTTTAATGCGTACATCTATTTTATCTGAGTTCATTCTTCAGTTGACTTTTTTTTTGCTAGAGACGGTATCGAGGAAATCAAGATTTGTGAAATTCTAGAGCCTAAATTAAGGTGAGATGGGTGAGAAATTTTTCTGAAGACTGCGTGCTTGATGATATTTTTAGATATTTACTCACCAAACTACTTTTGCTTTTGGTATGGTGGGTCGCCGCTATTATAAACCCCATTCCCGTGTCAAGCATTACAGAGTATAGATATAAAAATATGTAGTTTTCTCAAATTATGAAATCATAATACTGACGTAAACAATAGCAAAATTAACCGAAATAAGTATTGATTTATTTCGCTTTATGAAAACAATTTTTAGTTTACCTTTCCAAAAAATGTTGCCCTAGTACTTACCACCCACAGCAAAACAATTTGGAATGGCAAACAGCGACGCCCAGAACTAGTTTCAAGTAGGCGCATCCTGTATTTATTCGCTTTTCGTCAATCGTCAGACACGCGGTGGCATCTCCGCTGAATTCCTCCCGTGTGCCCCGATTGTGTTTGCATGACCTATTTGCTACTAAACCTACTCGTATTTTGCTATTGCTATTTAGATTCGTTTGAAGGACTTTGGAGGATATTTCTTTTATCGATATTTAGATTCACAAAATGCACACGTCTTATTTCTTCAATATTTTGGTATTACGCAAAACCCAACTGTGTTGGCTTCATTGGCGCAAATTGGTCCAATTAATGTAATAAACATGCTCAATTGAAATCCACATAATAACAATTTCTGATCCCGTATTGTTTGTATTAAAATTCAAATTTCAACCAATCTGTTTATAGACACGGTGTACATATTTGGCAGTTGTAATGCAATTATAAAAACAGTACAATTGTTGTTCCTTTTCATTTGTATTCAATTTTTACATTTTTACAGAAATGTTATACACGAACAATGTGTGTTACAAATTGTTTAGTCACAAGGTCACAACAATAATGCTTCAGTATTTGCATTTACTATTTTGGTACTTCTATAAACAATTTAACAATTAGCCTTCTATCATGCCCTCAACGCTCAACGTATGTTTCACAAACATACCTATATATATTATATTTATATATACCTATAAATATCAACTGACAACATATAGCCTCAGCCTAATATTATATTTTGTTTGCTAATTATAAAAATGTTTTAGAATGTGGTGGACAATCACCGGTAATTTTGGAAACATTCTTCCCATCGACTGGTCGAAGTCATACGCACGAAGAATGCATATGCCCGCGTTGAACCTCAACGAGAACAAAGTACGTAAGAAGCATATATCAACACATTTCATTACCTCATTATAGAATAAAGTTAGTAATTAGTTGTGTTGCAGGAACCGTTAACGCCAGATGATGAACTCGAATTGAGTTCAGAGGACGAGGCAGTTGCTAGTGATTTGGACATGCATGCCTTAATTCTTGGCGGTTTGAATCAAGACACCGAACCGTTGAAAACTGCTGATGAAGTTATTCAAGAAATTGACGATATTATGCAGGAAGATTCGATGGATTCGTTCGACAGATCGCCCGACTCACGCGATTCTTATTTAGAAACAAATGATACTCTAGAGAAGGCCAAGGAGGTCCTGAGTACTCCCCTCTATGAAGATAGTGGGTTTCGCCATTTTGTTTTAATGCAAATATCTAATCAGACATTATTTCAGAGTTGAGGGATTTAAGCTTGTCGCAATTGAACGAATTATTCATGGAGCTAGAAGTTTTGATACGTGAGTTTTCCGAAACGTTGATCTCGGAGCTGGCACTGCGCGATGAGCTTGAGTATGAGAAGGAGCTGAAGAACACGTTTATTTCGCTCTTACTCGCGGTTCAAAATAAGCGTCGACAGTATCACGTTGAGAAGAAACGTACTAAGAATAATTCAATGCGACCGTCTGCCAACGGATTGGATCCGAAGGTGAGAGTCATCAATGCGCGCGTTTATAATTAGCAGGCAATGCGCGTTGTTATGTTTGTAAGTGTATATTTTATTCAGTTATGACTGGAATGCCTCTATTTCTAGTATCTGACGACAGTGATTCCATATCACCTTGATAGTGGTCCTCCTAACAATCAGACCCTCCAGATCTTGATTAAGAGTGAGTAACATTCGAAAAGTATGTTCCCGTTCACACTATAAACGCTGGTCTGTTTCAGTTTTGAAAGCGATTAATGAAGATAGCCCTACAGTACCGACGCTCCTTACTGACTATATACTTAAAGGTATGGCATTTTAAAATGATTTTAAATCAACTATCAGTTTTTATGTTTGTTGCAGTTATATGTCCCACATAAACGTCCTGACATTGGTGTTATGACTTAAGTTGATTATATATTTCTTCTACGAGCAGTTTCTTCAGGCGCATCCACTCCTTAAACTTCATCGTTTCAACAATCACAGAAGGGTGATGCTGTTTGCATGCGTGAACCGAAATGATTAGGAACGCGCTTCGAAGCTACACTAGCCCTACCTGCAAACTTCTCACTGCTTCTCCAGTAGTTTAAGAATGAAAGTCATAAGATTTTCGTGTGGTGCTAGTGTTGTGTCGAAGGGCGTTTGCAAAATAGGTACAACTGACAAATACTGCAACAAGTAACTTCAAATTCTACTAAGCATAGAAACTAATAATAAACATTAAGTTTGGGCACCACCGAGCGACACGAGAAAACAAAATGGGAGCTAACTTTCCCATTAGGAATAACATTTGTGATTGAATTTGTGTTGTTTTGTTTTGTTTTGCGACGAATCTTGATTGGAGAAGACGTCAAGGGAAGTAAAATATTTCAGTACATTTACGTTCGATAAAATATGAAATCGCGATGTGTATCTATATTTTTTGTACGAATATGTCGATCACTGTGGATGTGTGTAAGTTCTAGTTTTAAACACTTGTGGTCAACAAACTGGGATTATTTTCTAGTCGTAAATTTTAAGCAAATTGTAGTTAAACTATCAGTCATCACATTTTAGTTGATAATTTCAAGTGATATTAGCTTTTATTCTGTGTATATTTATGCATATAGTAGACGTTTTTCATGCGCTTTCTGCTTGAGAGATGATGGCTCACAAAAACACCGATATTCTTTATCTTTCAATGCATTCAATATTGTATTCTCATGATAAGCGCTTCTATACCGAATATCGATAAGCAAGTCGTTTTAAAATTTACATAAAACATGAAGCGAGCGATTAACAAAGAGTCGCTTTTAAATGTTAATACATAATAAATATGATAAATAGTGAAATCCATATTTTATGCTGTTAATTATACTTGATTCCAGATAATATTATTACTATAAAATAGATTTGGGGTGTAATAAAATATTCGATTGATTCTGTTTATCCACTTACTTTTTGAAAACGTAATCATATAGTGTCCATTAATGAAGTCTTGGAACGTCAACAGCAATTTGTGTGAATCAGTGATGTTGATGCATTCCAGATCGTGGGTACTTACTTGTGTGTATATCCTTGTTGGAAACAATGGCGCCGAGCAAACAGTCAAATAAATATGAAACGTGTACATCGTACTATAATCTTTGAACAGGTAAAAATAATGAGTAACTAAATTTGAAGAGCCCTTCCAAAATTGTGCTTGAACCAAAACAATGTTGGTTGCCTACTTTCCTAATGGCCACTATTGACAGTTCTATGTACAAACAAATGGCACCTATGCACTTTGCAGTGATAAATAACTATCTTCTGTCATTTAACTAAAAAGGTGAAATAATACGTCGTGGATTCAAATTAGTAAAAATGACTGACGTAGGGGTGGAAGTGGGCCAGAAAATGAGGGTAAATTGAAATAACCTTGAAAGTGAAAATTCTGAATGAAGTTGATTGAATTTCATACATAATTAATTTTTAGCTTGCTATAAAGGCTAAGCTTTCTGAATTGAATTGCTATGTGGATGATGAGCTACCTGATTATATTATGGTTATGATTGCCAACAAGAGGACCAAGTCTCAGATGAAAGAAGATTTAAGTTTATTCCTATCCACTGAGACCTCCTTCTTTGTCGAGTGGTTACACATTGTTCTCAAGAAGCTGAAGCAGGTTCATGTTACAAACCCTAATGTGTTCCAGAATCCCATTAAACGCAAGTGCAATGAGCTGATCCCACAGGTAGACCATAAGAAAGTCAAGAATGAGAATAGCAAAATAAAGATGGAGAATCTTCCAGCAAGTTGCAAATCTTTAACAGATGATTTGCCAATTACTGCAAATAGATTAACTGAGGAGGCAAGCAGGAGGAAAATTATATTGTTTGAAGAACCACATCAATCTTCAAGCATTGAAACATTTTCACATGAAGATGACTTTGATATTCCACTCCTATCTGAAATAAATGCTTTCAATGAAGATGAACTGGAACTTCTAGAGAAGAAAATAAAGAGTGTTAAGAGTAGGTTGGGATTACAAGTTGAGAGTGATAAAGAGGAGGAGGAGAAGAGTAATAATGAGACCAATGATGGAAATGATTGTTTCACTATTAAAGCAGAACCAGGTAAAACCAATATTTGTTTTTTAGTTATTTAATACACATTTACTTAAAGTAGTATGAATTTGCAATGCTCAAATGATAATTTTTAGATGTTATGAAGTTTTCTGGACAATTTCGGAACTCTTCGGCCCCCAAGCGTATTATAAGTCCACAAACGACGATTAAACGTACTGAAAGTTTGAAGCAAATAGAACTGAAGCCTTCGATACACGCGCGTATAATATTCGACAATGAGAATAACTCTTTCAGGGATAAGGTCGATTCGATAATGAAGCGCAATGCGAACTGTCAGAATCGTCATGAAGGTAATGGAAAAATAGTAGACACATTCGAAAACAAGAAGAGGTCAATTCTTGACCGTCTCGGCAAACGTACTGATAAGATCCAAGGCAAAGTTAATCGTTTAAGAACTATTCCATCCAAAGTTGTAAAACCAGAGAAATGGCGAAATTCTGACAAGAAATATCCAGCGTCTATTTTAAATACCGTTGGTGTCCTGTCGAAAGTATCAATTCCACAAAGAAAAATGATTGCAAGTCAATGCCCAGAAGAGCGAATCTCCCAGGAAGACGAGGAAGGGCTCAATTCAAAGAATGTAGCTAGTGTTGTTAAGATCAAACCACGTGTTCTACCTGAAAAGACTAAACAAGCAAATCCGAATTTATTGTTCAAAGCTGTTGCTGATGCCCAAAGGAGTGTATGTCAAACACCGGAGGTTGGAAAGTCAAGGCATCAGGTGAAAGAAAAGCAAAACCTGAAATCAGCTCCTGCTTTGTTTACCAAGAAATATAAAGATCAAATGGCTGCCGCGCTAAGGAGTGAACCTAAAACAATCATTTTTAATAAAAACAGGAAAGCAAAGATATTGGATGGCGAAAAGTTAAAGTTGCGGTTTTTGCTTTCCCAGAAACAACATGAGTTACATTTCAACACGGATCCAGACACGGATTTCACTGATGATATCGATATGAACATCGAAAGGTCATTGGGAACACCAGACTTACAAAGAATCAACAAAGAGATTTATTTCAAAAGTCAGATATCAATTGAACAGAAAAACTATGAATCGACGCTAGAAGACGCTTCAAAGAATAATGATAAAAGCGATTTAAGCAATGATAGTCGAAATGGAACAGCAAAATCGAATCACACCTTTATTGTGACTTTAGATGGTATTGATCAATTGCAATTCCCTCACAATGATAAGCTGAATGTTTCTACACCGACGAAACAGGGTGCAATAATTAAAACACGGCGATTACTGTCGCCGATCATTTTTGACGCGCAACAACCGGCTACATCGACTACAACCAAAACAGTCATTAATAAAGCTGACGATATTGCTTTTACACAAGGGAAAAAATCCATGGAGAAGTGTAAATATTTTCCGAATTGTCGCAATGGGGACCGTTGTGAGTTTATGCATCCAGGCATGTGTAAAATGTTTCCAAACTGCAAGTTTGCTGAAATGTGTGTTTATTCTCATCCTACCTGCAAGTTTGAGATGTCCTGTACAAGGAAGAATTGCCCGTACAATCATATTACTTCTAATAAAATTGGTAAGTAAATTTAAGCGTTTCCAATGAAATTGAAATACGAATTGTATAATAATAAGTATATTATATATTATTATATATATTAAAATACATATTTGAGGAGGCAGGCCTATATTCACATTTTTTTAATTAAATTTCAGGTGTTGCGGTAAATAGCCAATCTCATTGCAAATACTTCCCGAATTGTTCAAACGGGCAATGTCCGTACAGCCATCAGAAATATGGGACCCTGTGCAAGTACGGCATTCATTGCAAGAATGCAGTTTGTGCATTCCAGCACCCAAAGGACTATCCAGGCCGAAGTGGCAAATTGACATGGCACCTAGCGAAATAATATATGAATGAAATATTTTGCATTATAGTAATTATTATTTATTATTGTCGCTTGAAAACATGGCCTCAATCTGTAAATGTATTTACATTTGAAGATTAAACAGCGATGGCAAATACCATTGTTTAACTGCTTTATTTTTATGTATATATATATGCTTTTTGCTTTTTATGTGCTTTTTGTTTAAATTAATTGTTAAAGTTGTTTGTAGTTGAAGGAATTCAAACTGGTTGTCATTTTGAATCTGGTAACTAGGTTGAGGGCGCCACTGCACAGCACCACAGCACCATCTTTCGTTTTGACGTTTGACATTTCTCTTTCACTTGTACAGCCTCATTGAGCCACGTTGTGCATCTGTGATCATTTTACTAAAATCTTTAAACATCGGCCGAAATATCACAGAAATTCACTTAAATATAATTTTGTCAGATACGCTAATAGCAAAGTTTCATTTTCCTGTTAATATTTCGTCGATGGCGTGCGTGAAACTTATTCAGAACGTGAAAGTAACCGCTGTGTTTTCACTTGTTGCTCCACGCGTTGCATCACTTTACTATACAATTTACAAATTCCGTTTTTAATACTTTATTATTTGTTTAGAATATGCCTCCAGAAAAGAAACGAAATGAGTTCGTTTTCGTTGTCGACTTGGCGAAGGGGATGCGGCATTGGTGAAGCTTTTCCCGGAACATTCCTGCAGATGTGTGTCTCTTTGCGACATCCTTCGCCAGCCACGTTTGATCTATAATCTGTTTGTCCCAACATCTTCAAAGATTGATCAGCAGAAAGTTCGGTTCCTCAGGATCCTTAACAACAAAACTTAAAATAAAACGACAACAACAAATAATAAAAGCAGAACTCAGAAAACTAAATATCAAAAAAGACGCCAACAAATAATACACAACACATAAATAAAACCATCAACTGAATAAAATAAAAACTAACTAAAAATAATGCAATAATAACATTAACAGACAAAACCAACAACTTGGCAATAATAAAACAAGACGAATACATACACAAAATAGAAACATTCTAAAGCAAATCAATTGCATCCTGTTAAACGAAGACCCAACCAACAAATATAATAAAATAATAAAAGTTATTATAAATAACAACCAAGAAATAAACAAAAACAACAGCCATATATAAAACTGGCAGACCGGGCCACGCGTTGCTGGGGCCTATTGATTTAAGAAGGATTTGAAAGAAAAAATGTCACACGAATTAACATAACATGGACGGAATGCGCGGCAGACCCACTGCCGCTGTTCTCGTTATTCTCGTGCACGAATTTCAGCTGTGCGAATTCTTTGAGCTGCATGAGCAATTGTTTTCAGTATGTTATGATAACTTTATTGTGTCTTCTGCTGGTCGTGTGCGCTCTGCCTTTTATTTTGTAGTGCTGGTGGCATTGTTTCAAATTGGAGTTGGAACAAATAAAACCATTTATTTGTTGATTTCTTATCACTATGTCGTATAAACCCCTATTGGTGTCTCTGCTGGCTTTATGCCGCCTGCCTTTTATTTTGTAGTGCTGGTGGCATTGTTTCAAATTGGAGTTGGAACAAATAAAAGTTCACGCATTTACTTTGTTGATTTCTATCACTATGTCGCGCGTGATAAACTTTATTGTGTCTTCTGCTGGTCAGTGCGCTCTGCCTTTATTTTGTAGTTGGTGGCATTGTTTCAAATTAAGTTGGAACAAAATGTAAAACCACTTATTTGTTGGGATTTCTTTATCACTATGTCAGCGTGATAAACTTTATTGTGTCTTCTGCTGGTCGCAGCCTGCCTTTTTATTTTGTAAAGTGCTGGTGGTATTGTTTCAATTGAGTTGGAACAAATAAAACCATTTGCCGTTGATTTCTTATCAATGCTATGTCGTGATAAAACTTTATTGTGTTCTTCTGCTGGTCGTGTGCGCTCTGCCTTTTATTTTGTGAAAAGTTGGCAGGTATTGTTTCAAATTGAGTTGGAACAAATAAAAACCATTTATTTGTTGATTTCTTATCAATGCTATGTCGTGTGATAAACTTTACGGTAAGTTCTAAGTCGTATCGTGCGCGGCTCTATTTCTTTGCAGAGCCAGCGGAATTGTTTCAAATTGGAGTTGGAAATCAAATAAAACCATTTATTTGTTGGGATTTTATCACTCTGCGTCATGTGATAAACTTATCGTGTCTCTAGCTGGTCGTGAGCGCTCTGCCTTTTTATTTTGTAGTGCTGGTGGCATTTGTTCTCAAATTAGAGTTGGAAACAAATAAAACATTTATTTGTTGATTTCTACCGTACTATGTCAGCGTGATAAACTTTATTGTGTTCTGCTGGTCGTGAGTGTTTCAGCCTTTATTTTGTAGTAAAGTTATGGAATTGCTTCAGATTGGAGTTGGAACAAATAAAACCATTTATGTGTTGATTTCTTATCACTATGTCGTGATAAACTTTATTGTGTCTTCTGCTGGTCGTGCGCTCTGCCTTTTATTTTGTAGTGCTGGTGGCATTGTTTCAAATTGGAGTTGGAACAAATAAAACCATTTATTTGTTGATTTCTTATCACTACCATGTGATAAACTTTATTGTGTCTTCTGCTGGTCGTGAGCGCTCTGCCTTTTATTTTGCAGTGCTGGTGTTTCAATTGGGAGTTGGAAACAAATAAATAAGTCCATTTATTTGTTGATTTCTATCACTATGTCGTGATAAACTTTATTGTGTCTTCTGCTGGTCTTGCGCGCTCTGCCTCTTCTTTGTAGAGCCAGTGGAATCGTTTCAGATTGGCGCTGGAACAAATAAAACCATTTATGTAAGTTGATTTCTTACTACTATGTCGTGATAAACTTTATTGTGTCTTCGCTGGTCGCGCTCGCCTTTATTTTGTAGTGCGCTGGTGCGCGATTTAGTTTCACCCGGAGTTAAACAAATAAAACCATTTATTTGTTGATTTTATCACTATGTCATGTGATAAACTTCTGACAGGCTTGCTGGTCGAGCGCTCTGCCTTTTATTTTGTAGTGCTTGCGTACGTCAAATGAGCTGAACAAAATAAATAAAACCATTTATTTGCGCTGATTTCCTTTTTATCACCATGTCGTGATACAACTTTATTGTGCTCCTTCTGCTGGTCGTGTGCGCTCTGCCTTTTGTAGAGCCGCCGCGGAATCGCTCGGTATTTTGAGAGTTGGAAAACAACAAAACCATTTATTTGTTGATTTCATCACTATATCGCATGCAAACCTTTATTGGTGTCTTCTGCTGGGCCGCGAGCGCTCTGCCTTTCTGTGGCCAGTGGAACGTTTCAGATTTCTGGAGTTTCGTTCGTACCAAAACCGGTTTATGCGTTGATTTTTTATCACTATGTCGTGATAAACTTTATTGCGCCTCTCGCCATCGAGCGCTCTGCTCTCATTCTTGTAGTGCTGGTGGCATTGTTTCAAATTGGAGTTGGAACAAATAAAACCATTTATTTGTTGATTTCTTATCACTATGTCGTGTGATAAACTTTATTGTGTCTTCTGCTGGTCGTGAGCGCTCTGGCTTCGGTTTTAGAAGCGTGTTTGTCAAATAGCTGGAACAAATAAAACTACTTATTTGTTGATTTCTATCACTTGCGTCGCGATACAAACTTTATTGCCTTCTTGCTGGTCGTGAGCGCTCTGGGCTCTTCTTTGCAGAGCCAGTGGAATTGCTTCAAATTGGAGTTGGAACAAATAAACTGGCTTATTTGTTGATTTCTTATCACTATGTCATGTGATGATAAACTTTATTTGCGTCTCTGCTGGTCGTGAGCGCCTGCCTTTATTTTGCAGTGCTGGTGGCATTGTTTCAAATTGAGGAAATCGCAAATAAAACCATTTTATTTGTTGGATTTCATCACTATGTCGCCAAACTTTATTGTGTCTCTGCTGTCGTGTGCGCCCCGCCTTTCTTTGTAGAGCCACAGCGGAATTGCTTCAGATTAAGCGCCAGTCAAATGTTCTCATTTATTTGTTGATTTCTTATCACTATGTCGTGATAAACTTTATTGTGTCTTCTGCTGGTCGTGAGCGCTCTGCCTTTCTTTGTAGAGCCAGTGGAATTGCTTCAGATTGGAGTTGGAACAAATAAAACCACATTTATGTGTTGATTTCTTATCACTATGTCGTGATAAAACCCTGGCTGTACCTTCTGCTGGTCGTGCGCTCTGCCTTTGGCCTTCCAGTGCTGGTGGCATTGTTTTCAATTGAGTTGAAACGCACAAAACCATTTATTTGCTGATTTCATCACTATGTCAGCGATAAACTTATTGTGTCTTCTGCTGGTCGAAAGCGTCAGTCTTTTATTTCCTGCAGTGCTGGTGGCATTGTTTCAAATTGAGCTGGGAACAAATAAAACCATTTATTTGTTGATTTCTTATCACTATGTCGTGATAAACTTTATTGTGTCTTCTGCTGGTCGTGAGTGCTCTGCCTTTTATTTTGTAGTGCTGGTGGAATTGTTTCAGATTGGAGTTGGAACAAATAAAACCATTTATGTGTTGATTTCTTTATCACGCGTTTCATAAACTTTATTGTGTCTTCTGCTGGTCGTGAGCGCTCTGCCTTTTATTTTGTAGTGCTGGTGGCATTGTTTCACCAGAGTTGGAACAAATAAAACCATTTATTTGCTACTTTTAATACTATGTCATGTGATAAATCCTATTGTGTCTCTGCTGGTCGTGAGCAGCTCTGCCTTTTTATTTTGTAGTGCGCTGGTGGAATTGTTTCAAATTGAGCTGGGAAACAAATAAAAACCATTTATTTGTTTACTTATCACTATGTCATGATAAACTCTATTGTGCTCGCCGGTCGGTGCCGCCTCGCCTTTATTTTGTAGTGCTGGTGGCATTGTTTCTAAATTGAGCTGGAACAAATAAAACCATTTATTTGTTGATTTCTTTATCACTTCAGCGTCGTGATAAACTTTACGGTGTCTCTGCTGGTCGTGAGCGCTCTGGCCTTCTTGTAGAGCCAGTGGAATTGCTTCAGATTGGAGTTGGAACAAATAAAACCATTTATGTGTTGATTTCTTATCACTATGTCGTGATAAACTTTATTGTGTCTTCTGCTGGTCGTGTGCGCTCTGCCTTTCTTTGTAGAGCCAAAGCGGAAATTTGCTTCAAATTGGGAGTGGGAACAAAATAAAACCATTTATTTGTTGATTTATCACTATGTCATGTGATGTAAACTTCTTATTGTGTCTTCTGCTGGTCGTGAAGGCTCTGCCTTTATTTTGTGCGCTAAAAGTACGTTTCAATTAATAAACAAATAAAACCACGTATTGCTGATTTCTTATCATGTCGTGATAAACTTTATTGTGTCTTCTGCTGGCCGTGCGCTCTGCCTTTCTTTGTAGAGCCGGAATTATCAGATTGAGCTGTACAAAATAAAAAACTATTTATTTGTTGATTTCTTATCATCACTATATCGTGATAAACTTTATTGGTGTCGCTGGCCTGAGCGCTCACCTTTCGCAGAGCCAGTGGAATTGCCTAGATTGAGCCGGGAATCAAAATAAAACCATTTATGTTACATTTCTTATCACTATGGCCGATAAATCCTGACAGGTTCTGCTGGGCGCGGCAAGCGCTCTGGCCTTTTATTCGGTGAAATTGCTTCAGATTGAGTTGGAACAAATAAAACCATTTATGTTGATTTATCACTATGTCGTGATAAACTCTTATTGTGTCTTCTGCTGGTCGTGAGCGCTCTGCCTTTATTTTGCGCTGCGGCATTGTTTAAATGTATTGGAACAAATAAAACCATTTATTTGTTGATTTCATCACTTCATGTCGCGATGTAAACTTACGTGTCTCTGCCAGTCGTGCGCCTGCTCGTATTTTTGTAAAGCGGCGTACCGTTTCAAAATTGGAGTTGGGAACAAAATAAAACCAGCTTCGATTGTTGGATTTCTTTATCACCATGTCGCATAAACCTTATCGTGCTCTGTTGGTCGTGAGCGCTCTGCCTTTCTTTGCGCGTATTTCGTGGAATAGCTTTCCAATTAAGCCAAACAAATGCAAACCATTTATTTACTTTACCACGTATGTCGCTATAAACTTTATTGTGTTCTGTTAATGCGCTCTGCCTTTTATTTTGTGTGC